TGCCGCGGCTTCTATTTCATATAAGTTTTTGCACGATGTTTTGTTTTCTCGATTGTGCTTATAAATAAATAACAATGTGAGTCAAAAAGTGCGTTTTGCTATATTTGGCACTATTTGGATGCTTAGGACTTGTTGACAGCGTTTCATGTATCAATCCAGGCAGTTCATTATTATCAGGTACTTTAACTTTTGCTTCTTTCTACTCCAAGAGGTTTATTTGGTCTCTTGGACAGCTTTTCCAACATTTTTCTTTAGTTTTCTGATGTAGTCTTTCGTCTTGCCCAAAACGGAAAACAGATGCTCACTCTTTGTTGTCAAATTCTTTCTGCACAAGCGATCGGGCTGTAACTACCATCTTCGCAATTTTTATCCTGTCCTCATCAGCCCTAAACGTCTCAGTTCTCAGTAGTTCAGGTTAAAGTTATTATGCACGGCTTGGTCCAAAAAAACAGTTTCGAGAACAACCGTCTCGAGAAAACAATAAATTTTAAAATAAACTTTTATCAGTTTTCAGAACTTCTCTCAGAAACTTCGGTCTATGTATTTGAACTTTTTTAAATAATTGTAAATAGTCCTACAGACCTTTCCAAAAATTTTTTTTCTGTTTAAAATTTGTCTGAGTCAAACCAAAGGTAAAAAATGCGGTCCTTGTTTTGCAGATCACCAGTCAGCAAAACTCACAATTTACAAAGCAAAATAATTCCTACTCGCCACAACTTTGTCCTTGAAGCGCAGTTTCTTCCTGTGCTTTCAATTTTGTGCTTTCAACAGCGCCTCACTGTCCATCGACTATCGTAGATCTGATCCATCGAGTGTGTTTTCTACTATGCAAGAGCTCCATTGTCACGCGCAGCTGAAGATACTACTCCGTAGGTAAGCTCTACTTTTTAACAAAATTATGTTCTGCGAACGTTTCAGCCTTTTTAGTTCAACTACTCGGCACTGGATCAGTTCAACCCATGCTTCCTCCTTGTTTTCGATAGTCTCTGTTGCTTGCCCTGACATTCAATAAAAATCAAACCATTGTTTTTTTGTGTGCCTCGATAAATCGCAGAAACTTCAGCTCCAATTCTGCAATCTGAAGCAGGTTCAAATTTTCCTTGAGCTGATCTGGATCGTTCTTTTTGCTATTAGAGAGTAGCATCTTTCCTGCGGGAAAAATAAATGATCCAGTGCCGAGTAGTTGAACTAAAAAGGCTGAAACGTTCGCAGAACTTGTTTTTGTTAAAAAGTATAGAGCTTACCTACGGAGTAGTATCTTCAGCTGCGCGTGACAATGGAGCTCTTGCATAGTAGAAAACGTACTCGATGGATCAGATTTACGATAGTCGATGGACAGTGAGGCTGTATAGTTATCAGATGACCATCGAACACAAATCGCGCGACTACTCACTAGGTGGCTTGAAAAATCAGGCCGCCCCATACCGGGACAACCCATGCTCCCTGTCGTGAAAGCTTCTAAAATCAAAAAAGATCAAAAGTGACCCTTATCCCCTGGTTTGAGCTTGCGCTGCGGATGAGCTTGCGCTAGTAGCTGTACCCTAACTTCCGACTCGATTAATCACGAACGCAACCGTCGTCCGCACGAAATTGGAATCCTTAAAACAAAACACAACACCCTTGATGAAGATATGGTGTGTCGAAATGGTGGACGAAGCCCATGCTTCCAAACAAGCTATCCATTATCAAATCTCGTAGGGCTCAGCGGAATTTATTATTATTATTATGAATTTACAGTAAAACAATACTGAAGGGTGTATAAGACCCCGAAACGAAAATCAAACGCTAAAAGTTAGTTTGGCGACAATTTGCACAAAGGCAAAGAACGCGCCAAGTACAAGAAGAAGAAGAGTTGTAGACATCATTGAAATAGCACCAGTAAGTTTTCAACAGTCTTGCTTTGAGGCCGTTAGAATTGAGGAAATCTATTCTGTTGTTCAATAGGTTTGTGAGTCTCTGTGTGCGATACCAGAAATTTCCTTTCAGCTGTTCTTTGCTGACGTAAGGCAGGTCAAAAAGGTTGTTTCTCCGGGAAGAAAAGTTCACAAAGGGATGCCAGTTGAAGTCGAAACGATTGTTTATGACTTTGGATAACGTCAAAATGTCGTTCAGCTCGATGTACAAAGAAAGAGGCAAGAGATTCAACGTAGACAATTTGTCAGTATAGCAATTCTCCGAATAGTTTGTTGCCCAGTTCGCAGCTTTCTTCTGAATGTTTTCGAGTTTTGTGAGGTCCGTTTTCGAAGAATACCAAACTGAGCTCCCGTAGCATATGATAGGTAAAACCATCGACTTGTAGAGATTAACTTTTGTTGATGCTTGAAGTTGCTTCGCCGAGGATCGCTTTAAAAGGAATAGGACTTTGATCGCTTTGGCAGATGCGAACTTTATGTGTTCGCTCCACTTTAGAGAACTTGAAACCTTCACTCCGAGATCTTTTTCACAACTTGATGTTTTCAATTCGTTGCACCCAAGGTAGAAAGGTCCACAGTTTTTAGTTTTGAAGTGCATAACGCAACACTTATCTATGTTGAAAGACATTTGATGTGAGGTACACCAATTCCATAGGCGGTCGAGGTCGAACTGTAGATCGCAGGGCTCATTGTGCTTGTGTAGTGATAGGAGTTTAGAATCGTCGGCAAAGCTGAAAACCTCTGATGATAGATCGTTGGGAAGATCAATCAAATATATTAGAAAAAGCAGTGGTCCCAGAATTGATCCCTGTGGGACGCCACTTGAGACCGATAGGTATTCTGAGGCGCGTCCTTCGATGTCCACAAATTGTTGCCTGTTTTTCAGATAACTTTGCAGAACTTTGAGCATGTTTCCTCGGACACCAATTTTGGAGAGTTTTGACAGGAGAATATTGTGGTCAATTTTGTCGAAGGCTTTCGAGAAGTCTAAGTACACTGCGTCTACTACTTGTTCACTGATATCAACGTTGGAGTAGATATCAACGGTGATGAGCAACTTGAAGAGATGGAGATGAATAGAAAATGGAGCGCAAGATAAAGGTGATCTGAAGGAGACACTGGTAAGATCCTAGTATTTTTAATTTAAAAAGAACTGATTTGATGATTTTGAATAAAATTGGAGTTAGGGCATGCAACTGGAAGGAAAATGAGGAATTCCTATACCTTTATAATTCAATGGTCGTGGCTCAACTATATCAGACACATTTAATGTTTCGTTCTCAAGAGCAAATGGGACATCAGGGTATTGACAAAAGTTTTAGCAGGGTGCTAAATCAATTCGAGTGCTATGGCATTGTTGACAACTGACCAAAGAGCCGATGAATAGGTTGTCGAGTGGGCACAGTTCAACTCGACAAACTATCATCCTCAAGCGAATGCCCTGGTTGAAAGACAGAACCAAACACAGGTCTTCAGATTCAAAATCTGTTGGTTACGATACATGTACAACTGAAGAAAGCACTTACCGCAGGAAATGGGAGCATACAGTAGCACGGAGCAGCCCACATATTGTACTGACCGGTCATCATGAAAGCATTTTTAATGACCTTTGTTGCCCTGAATGTGAAAGAAAAAAAACTTCTCTGCAAGAATTTTTCTGTGATGTCATGAAAAGATGGCAGGAACCAAATGACCTATGCCGAAGGAACACGCAGCAGGCACAAATAAGAAGAAGCGAAGATTCGATAGAAAACCCGATGTAAAAGCATACTCCGTGTGAGACTTTTCTATACTATATAACTCCTTCATTTACATGACCTCATATGACCGCGAATTTAATTTACATTTTTTTCCAACAAGTGATTACCCCACAAGGAAACAAAAAAATGCTTAAAAAGTTACCGAGTTCACCAAGGCGGTCATTTCTATCCATTGAGCACCAGAAGCGCTCATTCGTCGGAAGACAGGTGCATTCCAGCGGACCTGCTCGAAAATGATTTTTTGATAGCTGATCCTGCTGAGGAAGTGAGTGAAAGAGGAACACGCGACAGGAACGATGGGAACAAATTGATGAATATTCATGACCTGCCTTTGAACCTAGAACTGAATGAACGAAGAGACGTCGACAATGAAACTTTTCTTTATGCCGAAGAAGAACAAATTGAGGCGGAATAAGTAGAATTCAAGTCCGATTTAGGCTTGAAAAAAGAGGCAATGAAACCAAGAAATTCAATAGATACGGCAATGATTTTGTACCTGAGATTACTTGAGCTTATAAATCAGCAAATCAAAAAATAAAAGACAATTAAATTAAATTTTAAAATCGAGTTATAAAAACAAGGAACAATCTCACCCGAGCTCAGTAGGTCCAGCGGTGCACCACCAGACTTTTCAAGCCAGTTCCAGTTTCCCACCTCCCCACAGAAAGCCACTTGACAGACCTGTCTCTAAAATCCCTCATAGGGCGCTCCACAAACATCAAACATAAAAAATCTATTTAATAAGTTTATCACAACAATTAGGCGAGAAAATAAGACAAAGAACAGTTGTGGAAAATTGTAACATTCGCCCGGAAGTGCATATCGACGGAAAATAAAGCTAGGTTCTAAAACGACTGGCTAGCGTCTAAACACAGCTCTACATGCTTTTCACCACCAAAAGAACTGGCTTTGGCAGAGACGGTGAAAAGCATGTAGAGCTGTGTTTAGACGCTAGCCAGTCGTTTTAGAACCTAGCTTTATTTTCCGTCGATATGTACTTCCGGGCGAATGTTGCAATTTTCCACAACTGTTCTTCGTCTAATTTTTCGGCGTCTCTGTTTCAACTGTTTTTGTTCTCTTTTTTCATTCAAAATGGCCGCTCCCGCATTTCTCAGAAATGATCTGGTTCGAATTTAAAATTTAAAAATTCTAGAACATTCCGACCCTCCTTTTCATTGCCAATCTGGTGCTAACGCCTTTTTTGTTCTTATTCTAGTGCGTCGACCGGTTCGACTGTGCCAATCCGGGGGAATGGCACAAATATTTGGTAGATGTTAGGTTCGTGTTGTTTCGCAAGTAGTGCAAAACTGAATTTGTTTTCAGGTAATATATGCTTGTTTTGTCCATGCAACTGGAAACTACCCAATCAGATGATAATATCATCCTTCTTCTGTAAAACAGTGAAATGCGGAATTAGGTTCGAACCAAATTTAATCCGTTATTCAAAGTTACGAAGCACTGTTTTGACTCGAGATGGATGGACGTATAGAAAGTTAAACCTGGATCTGCGAATTCAGAGTATCAGTGAATTAAATGACGAGGAGTTCAAACATGTGACCTCAAGTGCTAAAAATTTCTTTCAACATATTGGCTCAGCGGATAATTCTTTTGAATCATTGTCCTGTTTGGCAAGCTTAGTGGTGAGTTATCTGCCAATCTGAACTTGAAAATGACAAATAATTAAAGAATTCCCCGTTTAATGTCATGATAGTTTTTTTGCTTATCATTTCTCATTGAAAATGGGGAGGAATTTTTGTCTTCGAATGTGTTTCAGTTTTTGTTTTTACCACTAAATCAGGTTTTACATATAATGATCTGAGTGGGTCGTGTGGTAATAATCGTGATTTGAATTACAATATCCAAAAAATGTCGAGAAAAATTCGGTTTGTTGTTTTTGATTTAGAGTCTGATTTCGAGCGAGGTCATAAAAATAGGTTTTTCAAATTCTTATTCTTTAAATTTATTTTCAGCCGTGAAATATGAGGTTTATTCCAGTAAAATTGGTTTATATTAGCGCATTTTCAGAATTTTTCAGATCAATAATAAAAATAAGCAATAAATGCATGATTTCTGAGCATTGGTCAGGAGTTGATAAACTTAGTCAGTACTCTTTTATAGGTCGTGATGATTTTTAAATTGTTTTTCCTTCTTAAAATTTTTAGCAAAAGTCTCAAAATTTCTTTACGCTCAGTTATGCTTTTTCGCGAAAGTTAGTTTATTTAGTTTGTTCAAAGGAGGGCAAACTCCTCTATCGAAAAACAGTGCTGTGAAGGTCACGAAAATCGTGTTAACTTTCTAATTTCTAAAATAAATCTAATCAGTTTTCCTAGCGAAATTAAAATTTTACCTATTGCTCCAGTTTTCGCAAACTGATTTAATTTTATCAAAAAGGTGTCAATCAAAATTGTTTGGAAATGTCGAAGAGCTTAAGGCTATATATTTGTTTGGAAATTAAAGCAAGTAGTTTTTTTCGGTTTTCTTGCATTCATTGACTTTTTCCAACGAATTTATTGTCTCTCTTTAGAGCAGACGAAATGTTGATGATAGAGATTTTTTGTTGCCTTTTTAAGATGAACAAATGCTGAAATATAAAACCCAAAGCAACAGATTTAGGTTTATTTTTACTTGACAATCTATCTATCTAAACTTTTTGATAGATAAATTTTTTGATATAAATGCGTTTGACACGTATCTTACCATGTCTTAGCGTTTTTTCGCAACAGTTAAGGGCATAACGTGGTTAAGCTATATCGTATATTGCGATGCTTAAATTTTTTTTTGATTTTCCAGTTTGAATCTTGTGTTGATTTCGCATAAAGGAAAATTAGCAACACACTCGTGGGGTGCTGCCAGGGTTTCCCTAGGGGTTGCGAATTTGGCCTCCAATTATGAATAAACAAATCCTTTTTAGTGTACGAGATACGACAGTTTTTGTGATTTTTTCAAAACTTGAAATTCCCAGCCCCGTTTTTTGTGGTGCTGTCAGATTACCCTCAATGATTGCGAATTTTGTCTCCAAATATGACTGCTCAAATCCTTGTAGTTTTTGAGATATGATGTGTCTGATGATTTCTTTTAAATTTTTCAGAAAACTTAGATTTTAGAAAGATTATAACATTTAAAATTACCGATTTTGTCGTTGGGTGCTGTGAGGGTACTCTCAACAGTTTCAAGATTCAAATCCTGCGTCCAAATGCGACTGCTCAAATGCTCTCAATTTTAGTAATATGACGTTTTTTTCTGATTTTTTCAAAAAATTTTCAGAAAACTTAAATTCTATTTTTTTTTTAGATTTTGAAATCGTTTTACCGTTTTCCTAGCGGAAACTCATTTTACAAAATAATTTACAAAATTTGTTGAAAATCCCAGCCCTGTATTTTGGTGCTGTCAGGTTACCCTCAAGGATTGCGAACTTTGCCTCCAAATATGACTGCTCAAATCCTTGTAGTTTTTGAGATATGATGTGTTTGATGATTTCTTTTTAACTTTTCAGAAAACTTAGATTTTAAAAAGATTATAACATTTAAAATTACCGATTTTGTCGTTGGGTGCTGTTAGGGTGCTCTCAGCAGTTTTAAGATTCAAATCTTGCGTCCAAATGCGACTGCTGAAATGCTCTTAATTTTAGTGATATAACGTTTTTTTCAGATTTTGAAATTTGCAACTTTTCAGTAGGAACCTATCAGAGACTTCTCGGGTGTTGCGAATCTGGCATACAAATGTGACAACTCAAATCTATTTAGTTTTCGAGATACGGCGTTTTTTGCGAGTTTTCAAAGACTTTTCAGAAAACTTAAATTCATTTTTTTAATTTTGAAATTCCCTTCCTTGTAAAACTAAAATGTAATACATTTTTTTCATATTTGGAAATTCCCAACGCTTTAGTTGGAGGCTGTCAGATTAATCGAGTGGGCTTGCGAACCTCCTTTCCACATATGACTGCTCAAGTCTTCGTAATTTTTGAGATGTGACGTTTTTATGATTTTTAATTTTTTTTCCACAAATTTTGAAAACCTTAACCCTGTTTTTGGGTACTGTGAGAGTACTCCCAGGAGTCGAAAATTTTGCGTCCAAATGCGACTGCTTGAATGCATTTTATTTCCAATTTATGACGGTTTGTCATGTCATTTTAGATCGTTTCAAAGGAACTAAGATGTGAAAACTTTATGGTTTTCAGTTTGAATTTAAAAAAGTAAAAAAAAAAACAATTAAAGAATTTTGAATTTACCAAACTTGTAGTCAGGTGCTGCCAGGGTATACTCAAAGGATGCTAACGTTTTTTCCAGCATATGCGGTTTTCTAAAAAAAAAATCGAACAGCGGAGATGCGTAACACGCTAGTTGAAAATTATTTTAAAGTCAATCAAGTCTGATTTTGAATCGTTATTTTCAATTTTTTTTTCGATTAAACAGACTTGGCTCATGATATATCAGTTGGTCAACTACTATTGCGTAGCTTCGAGGGGTAAATATGTTTTTATGTTTTCATGTGGTTCAGTATGGATGGGCTGTGTTTAAATGTTAAGATTTTCTTACAATCAAATGATAGAAACGAATGATTCTGCTCATTTATCGCTGATATATCGAGAAGCCTTGGAAAATTTTCCTATTTTTGCCGAAAATAGTGCTCAAGAATTTCTGTTGAATTTCAGAATAATTTTTTTGAAATATTTTTCCTTCGAGTTCAACTGAAATATTTTTCCTTCAAGTTAATTTAGATATTTATGAAACTTTAAAATATGCTGCTTTTTTCTAATTTTTTTTCACTGATAAATCATAAGTGAAGCAAAGGTCAGCTTCGCCTCTGTGTTTAGTTTGAGAATCAAATCTGCATTTTGAGATCTTATAATATTTTTCTGATAATTCGTTCTTTCAAGCTCGATAGTTCGCATTTTTTTCCAAATTGTTTTTTTATTACTTAGGAGTATGACATGCGTCAAAAATGATTTCTTTCATTAAACTAGCTAAACGAATTTGTCGATACCTGATGCCTGGAACAAACTTTGAAAGAAGGTTTTTTATCGATTCATCCTTCGTCGGGCATTCGATCAATACTTGAAAACAAGTTGGTGAAAAGGGATACTTCTTCATGCATTATATTATACCGGCAAATTTGTACCCATAAAAAACTCTGTGACTGTTTTTTTTTAAATCTGGTTTATAGTTGCTCAAATTGAAGGAAAAAGCTCGGTCCAATATTCGTTTCGATTAAATGAGCGAGACGAAATGCCGGAACTACAATTTCAACGTAATTTGTCCAAAATGTGCTTACACGAGCAAGACTTTTGCGCCTTCTGCATGAATTTTTGATTCTTTTTTGTTGCGACTATTTTTCAAAAAATCATATGTGCCAGTATTACAACATAGAAAAACTCTCCCTATTTCATAAATGTTTTTTTTTGCCTGGTTTGAGTTGGTCAATAGAGTTTTTTACGGTATAATTCTGGCGTATATTTTCCGCTATAATTCTGGCATATATTCTCGTTTCGGAAGTTGTGTGAAGCTCCACTTTGCCTCTGTGTAGTTTATACGTTAGGTAGACGCAATTTTTTTTACCCTCGAGTTAGCTGTACCCGGATCTCAACTGGGCTGTGCCCTAATCTCAACTGGAAAAGGAGTCTCCTAGTCGAACGAGGGAGAGATTCTTCGGAGGGGGAGATATTAGGTGGTTTATAAGGGCAGAATTTTTTCGGATGATGCTTCTGATATGGCCTGCCTAACTCTCTGATTATATGTTTGCTTTGAAGCAATTTAAATTTATATGGATGAACGAAATTCGTTCACTAAAATTGTTGAAAGGCCTAAGAGATGAATTTCGGATACGATAGAGGTAATTTCAGGGGTGTATAATTCAAGCAAAGAAGGGCGGATATTCCCGGGGTTCTGAGGTAATGATGATAAAAAGGTAGCGGATTTGATCAAACAGAAATTTTGAGGGCGAACTGCGACACCAGTAAATGATGGTAGTGGTCCAAGTTCACATTCTGAAAGTAAATGCTCTATTGCTCTCATATTTGTGCACCCTCTAACCACGCAGAGAGCAGTATTTTCAATTGGCTGCACTTTTTTTATAGAAGGTTTACTGGCAGTGCGGGACCAGGCAGGGCTCGCATAATGTAAAATTGGTCTTACCAAAGCTTTGAACGTAACCAGTCCCGGATAAAGCGTTCAGTATCGATATCCTGCGCGCGGCAATGATCTGCGAATTTTGGAGAGGTGTCGAAGAAGACATCAAGTATCTTAGGATGTTTCTTGAGGGGCAGTTTAGTATTGTTATGTATCCATGACCGCCGTGTTCAAGTAGTATATTCTTTTTTTTTGTCAGACATTGTTGGTGGTTCGTCTTTTGCTCATTTTTCTAAAATCTGTTTTGATTGCTACTTTTAGTGGGACGATTATGTAGATTTTTAATATCAAGAGAAATCAAATTTCCGTCGGATTCAAGATAAATGCTTTAATGTTGTAATGTTGGAGCCCTCAACACCTTTCGTATTGTAGCTAACAGAATACCATTTTTTTTCAAATCTTAACTTTAGTCAACCAAATGACTCAATTAAAGCATGTCCGACTATTAAATCCCTTTCCTTTCAAAATTAGCTTTTTTGTCGATTGTGAACCGTATTTTTTTGTCGATTGTGAACCGTTTTTTTTTTTAATTTTCCTTTTATTATTATTTTTTCTTCGATCCGTATATTGTCTGCTTTTTTGTCGATTCGACTTAAAGTTTTTCGGCTTATATCATTTTTGGCTTACTGCTCTTATACTGCGCTGCGTCGTTCGATGTGCGGAAGAAGTTGTGTCATTGCGTCTTTTAAGCGACGACTTAAGTTGTTTACGCTCAAATTAGTTCCTAACGCAGTTTGACTTCTGTTTTCCTTTGAATCTTTCTTTTTTTTCTCTATAACATTCAATTGTCTTTCTTGGTAGGTTTCCGAAAATTATTTTTTAAAGACAGAGAAAAACATGAAAGAAGTGGTTCTTCTGACGGTGGAAGTTCTGACGGAGCCTATCGTCCGGATAAAGGTAAACTAGTTCTCGTAGGCTTTATTCGAAAATTGATTTATGAAGTTTTTTTGCATAGATTTCACGGAAGGCGAAAAATCGTGGGCGGCAAGATGAATTCCTGAACCTAATCAATGACGTGTTCTTCGAAGTAAATAAAAAGCACGGTGGAAGACTACCACAATACTCTTACCTGGAACTGTATCACTTAGCCAGAGCCGGATATCTTCTTCGAATGGTTGACAAGCCCTACCACAGAGACTTGAGCCGACGCTGGATGCACGACATCCTTACTGGTAATCTTACAATTTTTACCAGAAGCAATTTTGTCTCACTCAAGTTACTGATTTGGAGCCCATTTTTTGGCGGTAGTGGCGTCTACCCAAGTTTTGTAGGATTAGTTGGTACCTCATAAGTAATATTGATTGTTTATTTTTCGCTGGTGAATGTTTTTTTTACATAATTTCTGCAAAATGATCATTATGCGAGACAAACGTGAAGTCTTTTGTCGGTCTAGTTTCTTTATCGGATTTTATTTTTTAATTCGACAAAGTGGCTTCGTACTCATGGTCTGCCCGCTAGAGTCAAAGCCAGGGTTGTGTTGTAGTGCAAGTGCTGCGAGCTTCACCTCTGTGTCAATCGCTAGCTCCGCAGAACATATCGTTTTCAAATGTAATATAAATTTATCTGCTATTTTACCTAATACTCATGTTTTAACCACGTAGTTCCATTTTACCTAATACTCATGTTTTTTATTGTGTTTCATTTATGTCTGATAGAAATTTTATCTTTTGAAATAAAAATCGGCTAAATAATTTTTCAAAATAACAACCAGCCATTGTTATCGGCGAACTTTTTACGGCTTTATAATTTATCTGTAAGAAATTGAATTCTCAATATTATGAAGCCTCAGTAATTTCCAAGCCCTTTCTTTTGGTCTAGTGGTAAAGTGCGTGCCTTGGAAGCGCAAAGGTTGGGCGTTCCATTTCCGGCTGGACCTTGTTTTTTTTATCTGCGAAAACTGGAATGGTCACCCTATCGGACTTTGCTTGCCCACTCGGGGAGTTCTCACTGCTTTAGAGTGCCGTATTTAATATTTGTAGAAATGCTGCTAATTGAGCTTAGATATTTTGTATATCGTCTTCAAAAGCGATTTAATTGTTTCGGCGTAGTTGGCTCGCAATAAGTTGTCCAAAGGGAGACAATATATTCGTTTTTGTGCTTCGGGGAAAGTAGAAATTTGCAGTCTCAGTACTTCTCAGCGCAGAAATTTCTTAGTAAATCTTGCATTTGAACCAATTTAATGCCGGGCATTATAATTCGCGGCTTGTTTTACTCGAATTGATTATCATTGGAGACATTCGTTTGAAGATGCAATTTTTCGCGTTTGTTTCAAATATGTTTGTTCGACGTCATGTTTTATATCCGTTAGCTTGCAATACTATATGGTTGATGTATTGCAAATTTTTTCTTTCTGTTCTTTATACGTTGAATTAGTTTTTAAGAGTCGTTGAACGTAGTGAAGACTCATATAAAAATCTTCGTATTTCTTTCTGGAAACAGTCTTAAAATTTTTTGGAGGCTCAAACAGGGGCGGATTTAGAAAGAAGGGGCGGGCGCCTACCTCCCCTTCATCCGCAGGGATTCGACCCCCTCACCAACCAAAGGGTCCGTTCTTCAGTAGTGTTTTATGACATCCATTTTCAGCTGATCAACTTTTCTAAAGGCGCCAATATATGCTTAATTGAAGGGGAGGGCGCGCCAAAAAACGAGGTTTTTTTTACGCCTACTGGAGGTTCAATTTTTGATCTTTCCATGCGATTCACAGCCATGCGGTTTCCTCGCTCCGCAATTTTATGCAATAAAACGTCGATTGGAATGAGACAATTTTCTTTGCTTTAGTAATTTTTTCCTACTTAATTGTTACTATCAAATTAGGAAAACTGAAATAAAACCGCCGTTTTTCGGTTTCCTGGAACTAATTTCCTGTAAATCAAGACCTTTCCAACTGCATTTTGGCTACATTTCTCGTTATTCTCTTCTGCTTAGTTGATGCTATTATTTGAAGTTAGAGTATTAATGTCTTATAATGCTTTAGATTAATAGTTTTTTTATGGGTGGGAACCCTTCTCGTGACCCAGAAAGACCTGGTTATGCGCCACATGCCATTTTACGCATGTGATTCAACTTGTATGACGAGCTTGGATTGAAAAAATTGCCCGTTAGCATCTTAACTTAAGCCTAGCCAAAATCTCAAAGCTTCTTATGATTGTTTTGAGGAGTAAAAACGTGGTCACATTTGTTAATGAGTTGTAAGGTTTGTTTTTCTTCAGAGTTCATCTACCCCAGAATGCATGCGGGTGAACTGGACCGGGACTGTGTGAAACTGGCAACGAGGTGCTTGATCGGACTTCCCGTGTTCACAGCAGGCTTTACCTCAACCAACCCGCAATTTCACAGGGAGTACATGTGAGAAGCTTAAAATGTTCGTGTTACGTGGAGTTACGTGTCTTACGTGGTCTTTATTAACTTTTGTATACTCACCAATATGAGAGCAATGCGAAAGCAGCTAAGGTCTCCGCTTTTCTGTTAAAAGGTCGGTGGTTTGAGACACACCATGATTCGTGTATGTTGGCTTCAAAAAACGCCGCCTTCAGTGGTGGATCCGACTGCTGGCATGCCAGGATGCAAATAGCATCAAGTCACTTTTTTTAATTAGCCCCAGCCCTGCCCATAGCAGGTTCTTCCAGAGGAGGCGAAGTTTTGCTTCCGTTTTGCAATTGCCGTTCCCGCGTTAAGGAGGTGGATAACATTCCAACCGTGACCGAAGTGCGATTCGAACGCAGTTCCCTCATGTTAAGAGCAGCGTGCCTTGCCCATTCAACCACAATCTGCTCTAAAGATGTTGTTAAGCCACCCCCTCCCATGGGGCGGGAAAGGCACAGAAGTCTCTTCTGCTTCGTCTGCTTGTCCTTATATTAATCATTCGCTGCGGCAGCGGCATTCATCTCATCCCTGGTGCCTAAAAACTTTTGCTTTGTAATCGACATTTTAAAAGAACTCAAGCAATTGTCTGGATCCCTTATGTAAGCTTGGGAACGTTAGCGTATTAGTACGAACCTTTTTTTCTAACATAACTCCAAATAAAACTGTTCAATAAAAGTAGTCACTTATTTTGGCGCTTTTATGCTATAATCACGATCTATAGCATTGTAATTTTCTTAGCATCTGCTCTCTGCTTTATATAAGGCTAGTGTTTGTCATTTATCAAGCGTCCGTGGCTGAGAGATTAGTGCGTCAGACTCATAATCTCTACGTCCCAGATCGAATCCAAGACGTAGCCGAATTTTTACTAATTCGAGGCTTCTACTTTTTGTTATAGCTTTTTATAGAGCTGCTTTTGTCATGTTCTCACCTGCGTTTGTGAAGCGCAGCTTGGCCTCTGTGTAATTTTAGTGGCCTCAATTGATTCAAAGAACACTATCTAGTTAGGATTAACGAGCCATACAGTTTTCACCGCTACAGGTTTTATGATCTTAGGATTAACGAGCCATACAGTTTTCACTGCTATAGGTTTTTAAAATCAAATGCGCTGTATATGCCTTTTCTGAGGTCAATACAAATTCATCTGCTAAAAGCCAGGTAAATTGCGCTCTCCAATTATTTAAAGGAAAATAGCCGGAAGAAATGGGAACGGTTTCTAGTTTTGAAATTGGATTTTTTTAAGCTTTCCCAGCGGGCAAAAAAAATTACCCACTGATCCAGCTTTGGTTTAGTTTTAACAGAATTAGTTTAATTTAAAATTTCAATCATAAATTCTTCCCAAAGGTCAAACAATTTTAATCTGATTCAATTGTTCTTCGAAAAAGTTGAAAAATTTTTCTAAACAACTTTCATTGCAAATTTTTAAGAAATTGATGTTGCTTTATTATTGATTCTTAGCAACTTCCAGGCCCCTTCCCACTTGTTCTGGAAGTAATGCGGTTACCTTTGCACTCTTTGGTCTGGAATTCGAGTCCCGTCCAGACCTTGTTTTTTTTTTTCATTGTCTTAAATTGAGTTTAACCGGAAAAATTGAATAGTCTGACTAGTTGCGCACCACGGATTTTTTTGGAGCTGTCAGCATTTTCCATTTTGGTCTCGAGTTTCGTTGATTAACTCCTGTAGTTAAAAAAGTTTACTAGCCCTGGCTGTTTTTTGTGTTTTTTTTTTCGCGTAGAAATTTTATTCCGCCTACATAAATTCGGCTCTTGTTATGTCGGCTTAATACTTTTGCATCGGTTATAGAGTAAAAAATGATAATTGTTGTTTTAAATTTTCAATAAATCAGGTCGATTGTAGTATAACGGTTACGAATTGAAACAATTTATTTGAGCATGGTTTTTAAAGACAACAGTTTCTTTTGTTATTTTTTGTTTTCGGATCAATTGGTGTCTTACACTTATTTCTAAAGTCCCCTCGGTGGAAATAACTTAGTTGTTCATTGTTGCGGAACTGTAGTTTTTTTCATAAATTACAAAAGTTCATTTTTTGGCTTTATTCTTAATCAGCTTAGTGACATATTGTATCCTTGGATGAGTGAAACACGTTTCCTTTGCGTGTGAGTCTCTTGAGGGTTAATTTAGTATTTTTCGGAAGTTTTCATGAAACATTTGGGTGAACGGGTGTCTGACAAAAAACTTTCGGCTTTAATACCGATTTGTTACTGTGCAAATGTATCTTTAAGTTTTTCCTTTTCATTTTCTAAAGTGAATTTTTTCCAAGGCATAGATATGAAAATTTGTGGTCGATCTAGCTTTTCTCAGCCTTTTCAAAACTTAATTGGCGGCTTCTGTCTCCTTTTTTATCTGCTAAAAATCATTTGCCCCGTTTCTTCGACTTAGTTGCCCCGTCTCATTTTCTGTTTGTTTATTTACAGCGCGGTCTTGCTCCGCTTCGTCTCGGTTTGTTAATTGAGCTTTTGGTCCTATAATCCTGGCCAAAGGAGCGAATTTCTATAATTTTTCGAATACTGATTTTTTGTATGAACCGTTTTCCATTTTGATTATGTTGAGCAGATGATTAATTTTGTCCCAATCAACCAAGAATTTGGCCAATCAACCTTTAGAAAAATGATGTTTAGTGCCGACCGTAGGAAGATTCTACAAAGTTTAGTGGACTATCACAGAGAAAACTATGCGGAGATGACGAAGAGTGACATGCGACTGTTTCTTCACATGCTATATCGACAGGCATACTCACCTTCTCGTTACGAGGACCTGCAGTTCATGAAGAAGGTCGTGAGCGAAGAGGAAGAAATGTATAGGGATCAATCTGGACTGCTCACTCTGCTTAAGGTACTTTTTACAAGATTGCTATAAGAAAATGTGTCTCACTGTAATTCTTAAGATTATCCAGCTCAAATCTGAACAATATTTTGTTTCGTATATCATGGCGACGAAAGTGACATAAACTTTTTTTGGGACTGTTGGTTGAAAATGGATGACGTTAAAAAGTGGTTTCAATAAAATATTATTCTTAATTGTTCAAGTCTCAATGAGCGAAGAGAAAGCTCTTATTTAGGTCTTGTGGTTTTTCATGAAAATCGTAAAATTAGTTCAAGCTCAATTTTCATTTTTTTTTGGTATTTGACTTTACATTTTTTCTTCGTTCAATTCAAATTCTACGCTCTCGAAAAATCAAAATTCAAATAGTGCGAAAAACAATGTGAAAATTTTGTAAAAGTCATAACATGTTTCGTTGAAGTTAATAGTTTTTTTTTCGAAGAAGTCAGTTTTCTGTAACCGAGTGCATTGAAACTTTTCAATTTGTTGATAGGTTGTGGTTTGGTATTGTCCCTAGTCTAGCGTTGATGTCTCCGATGGTATAGCTGTGTCATATCACAGAAGTTCTTTTGTATTTTAGTTGGACCGTATGTATCGCCTACTGGACAGCGACAACTTCATGCGACTGCGAACTGAAGTAGAGAAGATGGCTCAGCTTCCGTTCGAAGAGAGGCACTTAGGCATAGACACTATGATGCGCCTGTGCTACATGCTGGCAGAGAAATCATTCGTCAGAGAACACACAGTCTTCTTCCATGCACTCACTGACGACCTTTATAGGAATTACACAGTGAGTCAGTTGGTCCTATATTGATTAAAAAAGCAAATACGTTGTGAGAAAGCCATAAGATGCGATTTTTCAAGTGTTGAAGAAGGTAGTGAAGCTTCATATATGAATCGTGTTGGCTTTTCTTTGTTTTCAAAAAAGTCTTCAAAATTGTTCATGCTCAAATTTATTTGTTCGCGGTCTTAAAAAAGAAACGCATGTGACTCAAAAAAAATCCAATTTTTCCCCAGCAGAATAAAAATTAACTATTTCATCCAGTTTTCTCTAATTGGGATTGTTGCCCAGAATAAGGACTTTTCGTTTTCTAGAGTAATTGAGGATGTTTTCAATAGTCGGAAGTGCAACATAGTGTCTATGCTGAATTAGGACCGTTAATTATGATTTGTTTACGTCCACTGGAAAACTTGTAAGTGGTCAATTCTTGTATCAGGTTGAAACCGTATTGGTCGTGATTTAGATAAGTTTTTTTAAATAGAGTCGAGAAAAATTTCAAACTTTTAATTTAACGCTATTTTTTATTATTAGCTATCATTTCAGTGTAAGATCATTTAATTTAATAAAACTTTCTAGAAAAATAATTGACATGAATCTGTGCGGTCGGAACCTTGCTATTTGCATTACAACCGGTTATCCTTGTTAACCTTATCAAAATTGCGAGCTTAGTGTATTAGCTTGAACCTACTTTTTCCCAAACTAACTCGCAAGTAATAGTTCTCAATTTGGTGTAGTTCAAATCACGATCTGTAATATTGGAGATTTCATTGCATCTGTTCTCTGCTTTATTTGTGGCTAGTATTGTCGATGGTTAAGCATCCGTGGCCGAGTAGGAAGGAGGTGAGACCCTTAATCAAGAGGTCGCTGGTGATTTCTTGTGACCTTCTGCTTCCAATTTCAGCGGAAGTCTCAAAGGTTGTTCTAGTTAAGTTATTTACTTTGGCTGTTTGACTTAATTGTATAGGAGAATGACTTGAAAATTTTTCGCGTGCAATTTTTTTTTGTGGTTTCACATTCGAAGTAAAAGAATGAACTGATTGTCATGGATCTAGGTCTGCATTGTTTTTTGAGGAAGTTTTTTAAAATTATTTTCACACTGGAAAGGAAACACTGCTATCGAACAGCAAACGTGTTTGAATCGTTAAACCTACCAAACAAAAGAAGAAATCTATTATCTATCTATTATATATCTAAATGCGAGCTTAACTATTTCGCCATTTTTAAGGTTTTTCAGCGTATTATTTATGCATCTTTAACGAAAGAATTTTTTCACGCTTAAGCTATGTCGTATTTTGCAATGGTTAAGAAATTTTTTCGATTTTCCAGTTTGAATTCAGTGTTTATTTGACCGAGTTTAAAATAATCAACTCAATAGTGGGATGCTGTCAGGGTTTCCCTAGGAGTTGGGAATTTCGCCTCCAATTATGAATACCAAAATCTTTTTAGTTCACGAGATACGACAATTTTTGTGATTTTTTTTTTTCAAAAAATGTCAGAAAACTAATTTGAGAAATTAGAAATTCCCAACCATGTAGTTCAGAAAATTTTTCAGAAAGCTTAAATTTTAAATTTTTTTATTTGATTTCCTAACCCTGTAATAAGAGGGCTTCTCGAAATTTGAAATTCCCAATGCTGAAGTTTTGTACTGTGAGAGTACTCTCAGGAGTTGCAAATCTTGCTTCCAAATGCGACTGCTCAATTGCTTTTAGGTTACGGGATGTCACGTTTTTTATGTTATTCTAAAGTTTTTCAAAGAACTTAGGTATAAAAATTTCACAACATTTGAGATTCACAACCCTGTAATTGGGTGCTATCAGAGTAAACTTAAAGGAGAACTATTTCCGATATATATTTATCAAAAGTTACTCAACCGATTTTCAAAAGAGTGGTACCAATGTGAAGTCCGCCCACTCTCCTGAGTGCCTGCATACTCCCCTAGTAATTTTTTAAAACTTAACCCATTTCCTACAGCCTTCAATAAAGTATGTGGGGGAAGTTTTTTGAACAGAATTTTTGGATTTCTCTCATTTTCTCGAAAACTACCCGTTCAAATCTGAAATTTTAGTTTCAATCAAATGGATAGGTTGTGGGGAGCTCCCCTGCCTAAGCTGCTACGCCTAAAAATTTTTAAACTAAAAGTTATGGTCGTCCTCTAAACAGTCAATTTTTCTATTTCACCTTTTTTTTAAACGTTTTTAAATTTTTTCTCGAAAATTGCACTCCCAATTCTGATATTTTATTTTCAATCGAACGGATGAGTTATGAGGAGCTTGCCTGAATTAGTGGTTACGCTCAAATTGTTCGCACAAAAAATAATGACCCTGAGAAAAGTCAAATTTACAATTTTTGACCATTTTTTTTTGAAACTTGACTGTTCAACGGATAGAAAAGGTTGTGGGAAGCTCCCCTGCCTCAGCTGGTAAGCCTAATTTTTCAGACAAAAAGTTATGGCTCTCTAAACAGTCAATTTTTCGATTTCACCGTTTTTGAAACTTTTAGACTTTTCTCGATAACTACAATCCCAAATCTGAGATTTTATTTTCAATCGAACGGATGGGCTGTGGGAAGCTCTTCTGCATAAGCGGTTACGCCCAAATTTTTCTACACAAAAAGTTATGACCCTCGGAAAAGTAGATTTTTTGACGTTTTTTGAAACTTTTGTCAAAAAGCCCCCTCCCGACTCTGAGATATTGACTTTTGTTTTCAACTTCAAATTACAAATGGCAGAAAAGTAACCTCTCCAATAACATATATGCAAATGACTTAAAAATGGAGCTTTAATTTCGAACTCCATTTTCAAATCTCACAGCGAAGAAAACATTATAGTGATCGACTTTTTGCTCCGACCATGGAAAATAGGGAGGAACTTTGTATTCGGGTGTTTTAGCTTTTTTTTTGCATTTTTTTGTTTCCCACGCAAAATCAGGTACCAGAAATTATTATCGGAAATGGTCGAGCGATATATCATATGAAAACTTTTCGATTGTGATTGGAACTGCATTAAAAATTCACAAAAAATTTTAATTTCGAGCGAATAAGGTGAGTGAGCAGGATTATTTTATTTTTCAACCAAAATTGTTCACAGCAAATAATCATCGTAATGGGTGAAGTGATATATCATATTAAAGCCCTTTTAGCCCTGATTTGAACGATTTTAAAGTTTCTAAAAAGTCGTTCCAGTGTCGAGAAAAACGTGTTTGAAATTATCGAGGTTTAGTCTAAAATCTAGCGAGTAAAGCAAGCGAGCATGCTTATTATAGAAGGAGAAGCCATGAAAATTTAGTTGAATTTCAATACATTCATTCTTCCAAGTTTTGTAGCGCCATCTTTGGAATAAAAACTTCAGAATTTCAAAACAAACTTTGGAAGTTTTTTTTTTGTCATTTTTCGACTGAAACCGTTGCGCGATTTGCTTTTTTTTTTACTATGAGTCGAATATGCTTAAGTTCTAGGTTTTCGTCAGATCATTTATCGCACTACTCGCAAAAAAAAACAACTCTAATTTGAAGAAAAAAAAACATGAAAAAGCACAGACACCGGCTTCCCTTGTTTCAAATTGTACTTGTCTGTCAAGAAGCTTTGTTTTTTCGATTAAAAACCGCTCATTTTATTGAACGGTTGGATGCTTTCAACCGCTATTGCAGTCATGCTACTCTATCCTAGTGCATCTGCAGTATTACTGAATCAAAACCGTTTTTGTTTCAGTCCCAATCCAAGTGCAAACACATCGCCATGCTGTTCAAAGCATACATGATAGCAAATCACAAGCCATCAGATGTAGCTGCTAAGAAGCTCTGCACCCTCTTCAATATGACTGTGCATCCTCATGCTTACAAGGAACAGCTGATCAATATGTCAAAGGCTCTTGTGGGTCTAGACATGGTACACTTGGGCAAGCCAATCATCTGCAAACTGCTGCAGAAATTTGTGGACGACCCAACATCTATCAGCTGTAAGTTATTTTTTGAAGATATCAACGAAAGTTATCTCTAGAGTCTGGCCAGTTTGAGCCTCAAATCCAAAACAAAAAAAACAGACACAATTAATGAGATCGCAATGTTGTAAAATAGTGCCAAAGGGGAACCGAACCTTACAGTAATGTAATACCTAACTCAAAGGGGAACCGTACGAATACATAAAACAACCTGGTCAATTAAATGATATAAAATCTGCAATTTTATAACTTCGTTCGCGTGTTTTTTTTCCTCTTTCAGAGAAAGTCTGAAAGCTTGACATGCGTGTTTTTTCTTTTTGGAGGTTGACTTGTTTCTTCTTGTGTAAATTCATTTGTAAAATGAATTGCAAATAGCAGTTCCTTGTTGAAAGTGGAAAACGGTGCTACATTTCTTTTTCAAAAGTTGATCAAATTTTCATCTAAATGAACGAAGAGAATTTTATATACGTCGCATCGTTTTTTTTGTTTTTTTTTTCAGGAAAAGTCTTGGTTGTTTACGCTTAATTTTGATTGTTGATTTGGTTCGACTTTTGATTTCTCTTGAAGCTCAGTACAAATTCATTTACTAAAAGGAAGATAAAATATGCTATCGGTGAACACAAATTCAAATGGCGCGAAAAAACTTCTAAAAGGGATTTTCGAAAAGGGATTTCTAGAATTCCCAGCCAAATAAGACACCTATTGGTCCAGTTTTCTCAAATTGGGTTAGCCTTATGAAAAGAGTATCAGTCATAAAAAAGTCAGGTAATTCAAAGCGCAATCAAGGTGATAATGAAGTTTTCTTTCGAAAATGTCTGTCTATTGGCTGGATCCATGACATTCTACCCTATTCCGATCTATCCTGTGCTAATCTACTCCATACTGTTCTATCCTATGTTCCAAACTAGCCTATACCATTTTGCCCTATGATAAAAGCAATTGAAGCTTACCCCATCCTCTTGAAGAATCCGAAACAATATTTCCGGACAAATCAAAGAACCATTAATTTTGGCCGAAGAATCATTGCGGCGCGTGAATGAAACATCAAAACAACGTAAAATTTGCTGGTTGAAAATATAAATGTGTTCAAAGCATAAAGGAACAGAAACTTTTATTACGCTTGCGATAAGCAAGCTTTATCAAATCGGATTATAGACTTTTTTTCGGGTTAACAACTAGCTTAACTAAATCCCTTGAATTACTTTACCTTTGGTTCATATGAAATCAAAAGTCAGACGTTGGTTCGTCGCACTTGGTCTGGGGGTAATTCAGTTGCCTTTGAAACCTAATGTCAGGGAATCGAATTTCGGCCGGATATTGTGTTTTTTTTTCAGTGCCTGAAATTGAATTTTTTTCCAGGAAAAATTTATTAGTAGGAGTTTAGTTTTTCTGCTTGTATTTTGTCGGCTTATTTGCCACCCCACTTTTTTGTGCTGTAATCAGTTTTCTTGTAGTCTCGAGTGTCGTTGATTAACTTCTGATTTAACTTCTAGATTTAAAGATTATAACTGATTGGTCTATTTACCTATTTTTCTTGTTTTTTTTTGCGCTTTGAAGTAATATTCGGCCTAGATGATTTCGGCTCTAGTTTTGTCGGTTTATTCGACTTTTTTTGCATAGGTATAAGGATAAAAAATATTTGTCATTTTTTTGATAAATTAGGAGGTACTGGTATTATATAGGTTGAACTTTTTAATCGCTCAAAATTTGTTTTCGGTTTAATTGGCATCTAACCACGTGTGGTTGGCCTTTTGAAAGCTTGAAAAGTCATTGAAGGTTGCTGCATGCTAGTGGTTGTGTTTCTCGTTTGTTTTTCTCAGATTGTATTTAGCATGATTCCAAAAAAAATTTGGAATTTTTCAATGAAAATCATTTCCTTTGGTTTTTTTGTTTTCGGATTGATTGGCGTCTAACAACGAGTTTTAAGCTTACTGGGCGCTCGAACAATTTTAAAAGCTTGCTTAATGCTTCTGAGAATGTTTTTTTTTGGTATTTCCAAAATTATGTTAACCTTTCTATGACAATCATTTTTTGGCATTTTTGTTTTCGGATCGATTGACATGTACACATGTGTTGTTGATACATGCAGGAAATACTTAAAGCTTTCCTATTTATAGTGGTTGTCTTTCTCGCTTGTTTTTCTGTGATTGAATTTTTCGTAGTTCCAGTTGTCAAGTTTTTTTTCCACTTAGATATTTCCATCTCACCGACCATTTAGTGCCTTGCATTGGTACTCCACCGTTGTATCGCAAGTGATGCGAAGCTTCGTTTCGCCTGTGCAGTTTATTGATGGAATTACCTTGCGGCTATTTCTTAACCGATCAAAAGTCATATCATACCAAGTCCATATAGCTTAGTGGATAATGCATTGTTTTGAAATCAAAAGTTTGAAAGATCAACTCATGGAGAAGTCAAGCTTTGAATGAAATTCGAAAATTTTGAAAGGTTTGATATTAGTTGTTAACAAGAGAAGAATTACCGTCCCCCCAGAACCAGGCGAAGGCGGTAATGGGGGGGGCGGTGTAAGGGGGAAAGTGATAAAATAAACAGAATTGAAAATGTTTTATTTGCGCGAGAGAATACAAATCTGTTGAAATAGAAGTTTTGTTTAAGTTGTTGCAATTCTTTTTCATTCCATTCACTTTTTCATGCGGCTAGGTTTGCTGTTTCTCCCGCTGCTTTCACTTCATAGAATTTTTGATTGGCAGCATCCAATTTCGTGGTTTCTTTTAAAGAGTAACAACGCTCAGATGCCAGCCCTCTACGTCATTTGTTGTCATGATTAATCCAGCAGCAAGTTCTTCAGAATGATTCTGAAGTTATTATGGAAAAAGAGGGTCCCGAGAATTCCTTCTGATGGTTTCACCTTTGATGTAGATGCGTTGGAAGTAAGAGGCTACCCCCATCAAGTTTTTCGGTGATGTTGCTGTCGAGATCAAATAACCAAGTCGAGAGCGGCAGTGATCATTTCAACTGGTACCAGACTTATAGGCAGAAATTAGGTGCAACGACAAATTGAGTTCGTGATTAGTTTCATGTCATACAGTTGTCTTAGTACCACTTCGTTATTTTATGGTTGAACGCCTGTAATAAATGAAAATAACAGCCTTTCAGCAACGTTCCGGCTTGATTACTAGGGAAAGCCTTAAGTGCTGCACGTTCAAAGACGAGGAGAATGCGGCGAGGTTCATTGTTTCTGGTTATAGCTGATATTCCCTTCAGTAGCTTTTTGTATGTGTGCTCTTTTGTTTGGCAACTGTGCAAAATGCAGGGGGGGGGGGGCAAAATCTAGCGAGATGAAAGTGGATGATGTTAGGTTGCTAAAACTGAATAGGGCAAACTTCGAATGTTCCGTCACACAGCCCCGCATCTTGATGCAGTATCAGATTCTGGATATTGTCGCGATGTCCAAAAATCAGCACTTTTTGGATCTTCAATGGCATTATTGAAGACGCTTAAATCCGCGTTGTTTCGACATCTCGAAATGTCTGGCGACAATTTGAAGCACTGTGGGTCTCTCATCTACCTTCTGTCGATTGAGGACCCGATGAATCGCGGACCGTCCAAGAAGAGCTATTTGAACGGTTTTTTCTTCGGAATCAGACTGCAGGCAGTTTGCTATAATGCTGCTACTGACTGTATTCTCTGGTTTTTACACGAGAGGCCTTGGATCTGAACGACCAGGAAGTTTTCGCGAGTGTGTTCATTTCTCCAGGAAATAAGACCGTTATCTCGTGTTATTGCTGTCGTTTTGCTTTTATGAGACCCCCAACTCGAATTTTTTCAGTGACTGTTTCCATTCTTTGTTTCCTGTTTCTCGGTAAATTCATGACCCTCCGATTCTGTTGCAATAGACCCAGGAAACTTGACTCATTTTGGTAAATGTTATTCCAAGGAAAATGATGAAATGAGCTAGTTTTTGTTTCATTTTTGTACATTGAAAATTGGGGATTAATTGAGACTAATTGCAGAATTTGAGGCCTAAATTGCGATAGTTTCGTTCAATGAAAGAATCAATTTGGGTCGAAAAAGTTGGACACAAATGAATTAACACATGCTGTTATCATTCCGATTCTAATTAGCACTTTGAAAGATTACATTATTAATGCGACAAGGTAGATTGGTATAAAGGACAGATTAGTATGGGGTAGTTTGGTATGTAGGGTATAATGGCATAGGGTTGAATGGTAAAGGGTAGTTTAAAATAGGGTAGGTTGTCTTGCCATCTTATTGGCGTTATATTTTTGGCTATGCGTCATTATGCAAATCTCGAAAACTTTAAAATAAGTTGTTAATTTCTTCAAACGCCCTACCCTCGTCAAACAGTTTCTGCGCACGCTTCACTATTTTTCCTAAAATCTCTAAAATTTGAAAAAAAATGTTATTTTTTGGATGCTTTGTTTTGACACTTTTCCAATTATTTTGTTTGCTTTATTCATTATTTTTAGCGGCTGTTGACTTGTACGTCATAAAATCGCTGGAGATAGAGCATGGACCACTACTGCATAGTTTCATAAGACCTCGGATGTTGACGCATTACCTGAGAGACGGAAAGTTCAACACCCGACATCTGATGGCTGTGAGAATAATCACCTCCTTCAAGTGTTACTGAACAAAGATAGTGAGGACACTGATTTAGGCGATCCGTTTACAGAAATTTCATTGCCCAAAGAATTCAATTTTCAACTCACTTTGCTCTTATTTATTGGAACAACATTTTTTGAATTTGATGGGTGGAGCAAGTTCATCAAGCTCAGCATAGCGGCCGTTGACTCTCAAGTCGATGAACTCATTAAGAGTCGATGAACGTAAGACTCTTACATAGGTCATGATGAATTTTTGTCATGAAAAGCTTTTAAGTTTGTTCGCGCTCAAATTTGATTTTTGCGGTTGCAATTCTGATTTCTTTTTGAGTTCAGTTTTTTTCTTTGTTGAAATGGAGGCAAACTCCTTTGTCAGACAGCAAAAGTGTAAAGGTCACGAAAAACGTGTGATCGACTTCTAATTTCAAAAGTGTACTTCAAGGATCAATTGAGACGGCTCTCCTCATTAGTTTTCAGCCCCTTAATCGCGTACACATTGAATATATTTTTTTCGTAAAAAGGTTATATAGGTCTTGCTGATTTTGTTTTTGTTTTTTTTTCAGGAAAAAGTCTTTAAATATTGATGCACTTAGATACAATGCACTTTTTGAGTTCAATTGAAATTCATCTGCTGAAAGTGACGTAAATGGCACTCTCCGATTACGAACGTAGAAATGGCGCGAAAAACGAACAATTTTGAAAGTGGATTTTTTTCAAAATATTTCTCAGCGGAATAAAAACTTTACCTATTGATCCAGTTTTCTCAAGTTGGGTTCATATTATTTAAAAAAGCACCAACCATAAATTGTTCTAGAATTTCAGAGAGCTTAAAGGGTATCTATTTTTTCTTTGAAATTCGATAGTTGCTATTTTTTCCAAAGCGTCTTTTTATAGACGCTTTGGAAAATTTTAATACTTTTTTTTTAATTTTGTTTCTAAAAAACCCACCAATTTTCAAAAAAAGGGAAGCCATAAAAGACAGCCCACATTCTTGTGTGCCTGCATACTCCTCTGGTCTCTTTTTGCTTTCCGTTTTGTCTACAGCCTTCGAAAACGTCTGGGACGCAATATTTGACCAATGTTTGATTTTTTTTCGTTTTCTCAAAAACTAACCTACCCAATCTCAGATTTTCGTATCGCTGAATAGATCTGATTCGAAAAGCTCTCCTCAATAAGCGGTTTTACCCATTTTTTTACACATAAAATAATGGCCCTCGGATTAGCCAAATTTTGTTGACCGTCTTTTGTATCTTTTGTAATTTGTCTTAAAAACTAACCTCCGAAACCTGAAGTTGTGGGTTCAATGGAGATAATGGGTAGTGGGAAGCTCGCGTGTTTTAGCGGTCACTCTCAATTTTTCAACTCAAAAAGTTGTCGTCCTCGTTTTTTGAGTTTTTTCTAAATTTTATCAGTTTAACCAAAAAATACCCTCTCATACCTGAGATTTTAGGTTCAATCCAAAAAACAGGTTGTGAGAAGTTTCTTTCAAAACGCGACTACGCCCAAATTATTCGGACACAAAAATTCTGGCCCTCAAAAAAGTAAAAAAAAATTTTTACCTTTTTTGATATTTCTAGACTTTTCTCAAGAACTACCCGTCCCAGGGGCGGATTTAGGGGGGGGGGGGACGCCCCCCCTCAGGGATTCGACCCCCTGCCGACCCAAAGGGTCCCCCCGTTGATACTTTTTCAGAAATCCATTTTTGGCCGACCGACCCTAAAATTTTTCTAAAGGCGCCTTTGGCACCAATATATAATAATTTTTAGGGGGAACGCGCTTTCTTTTTTTTATTTGCCCCCGGCCTGCTCAGTGCAGGACCAACCGTGGGGGAGGGGGAGATGTCATCCATTTTGCCCTAGCCGGTCCCACCTTGAGGAGGCGGATGACACTGGGACCCCTCCAGCCGTGACCGAAGCGGGATTCGAACGCATGACCCTCGTGTTAAGAGAGATGTGCCTAACCCACTTGACCACGACTGCTCGGGGAACGCGCTAAATTTTGCCTGCGGTACGCAATTTTTTGTCAAAATTTGTTACAAAGTGCCCAAAAACGGCTTTTTTGACTGTTTTTTCAAAAATTTGCCTGCGGCGCAGAAAATTTTGCCAAAATAGGGGCAAAACAGTGCTTTGGGAGAGCTCGAAAAATCAATTTGGTCGACCTAAAAAAAAGGTCGTCAAAATTTTACATTTTTTTTCCGCCCCCCCCCCCCCTCGAGAAAATTCTAGATCCGCCCCTGACCCGTCCAAATCTAGGTTTTTGGGTTCAATCGAAATAACAGATTAGGTGAATTTTTTCTCCATTAACGGCTACGGCCAATTTTTTTAAACAAAAAGCTATGATTCTCGATGTCAACTTCTGATTTGTTGACCGTTTTCGGACTTTTCTCGATAATTATCCTGCCAAATCTGATATCATAGGTTTAATCGACCCAACAAGTAGTTTACACTTGCGATCAGCTCTGTGTATTATTACGAACCTTCTTTTTTCTAAATTAACTCGCAAATGTGCTAAGGTTTTTTGCCTTTGTTATTCAATTGGATCCAATGAAAATGGTAGCATTTAAAACTTGTTTAGGTATACTTCAAAATGGGACTGGGTTCGTTCTACAATGAGGTTTTGAAGGACGCACTTGGGGAAGCATATGTTAGTCCCCATCGACTACTGCCGTTCTTTGTTGACATTGGTAAGTAAGTGTATTTCAGAAAGGCTAGCAACATCTGTTTGATTAAATTGAAAAGGACGATAATTTTTGAAAAGCTCCTGCGTCTCAAAAAACGCTTGTTCCTTGTGACAGACACTCAAACTCTGACACTCAAAGTTCAAACACTCAATGGCGCAATAAATAGTTTCAGTATTTTATTTTGCCATAAAAAATATTAAGGGTCTATCGACGTAGTTCAGACTCTTATATAGGTCGTGATAATATTTTTTTAAGGAAAAGTCTTAAAATGCTCTTATAACTATAGAAAGTGCATTCATACATATTGATGCCTTTATGAATGCCCTTTAGTATATGTGCAGTTTTTGAGTTCAATTCAAGTTCTTTAGCTAAAAGGCAGGCAAAGTTCGCACTCCAATTACGAAAGAGGAAATAGCACGACAAAACATGATGCGTTTTTCGTTTCGAAAATTGAATTTAATTGTAGATTTCTCAGCGGAATAAAAAAACTTACCTATTGATCTCGTTTTCTCAAATTGGGTTAATTTAATCAAAAAAGCGCCAATCAAAAATTGTTCTTAAATAGCAAAAAATCTTTGGCCATATATTTTTTTCTTTGAAATTCAAAAGTCAACTCTTTTCCAGCTGTCTGTTGGCTATGTTTTTACTTGCAGAGAAAGGGTCTTGATTTGTTTGAATGCTTAGACCTATGATTTTTCATGTACCTATGACAGTATATCGACCTTTGACGATATTTGAGCTTTCCGAGTGAAACATTTTGTGATCAAGATTTTGTCTGCGTTTTATATTTTTTATATTTATATTTTTAATGATGTTGTTAATTTATTTTTTATAATTCCAATATAAGGTTATTTTATTAATGGCTGTTACTTTACTTAGACCATGTTTTTCTTGTGGACGAGGAGGGCAACATGCTGCCGGCACACGAGATACAACACACATTCGAGCCAATTCCCAGAGAGTACCTGGAGTCAGATTCTATGGAGAAACCAGTTGGTATCCCAGAGGAGTCGCCGGCTACTGGGATAGAAGAGGGAAGGCCAGTCATATCCAAGAACGACATTCTGTTCGCAGTGATCAACAGCAAGCTGCAAGTGAAGAAGACGTGGACGAGACGAAAAGGACACCTGTGAGTTGTGACTAGAGTATATAATAATGAGTTCGATCCCTCCAAGCATTTTGGGCATCAGAGTCTCATTTCTTCCAATGCAACCGGCTAATTAATCATTGATATTGCGTGCGGAATTTCTGTTTCGCCACTTCCATTTAAATCTAGATAGTTACATAAAATAGTTGCGGCAAAATTTTTGCTCAGTTTGCTTTTATCAATCCTATTATGGTGTTTATTTCCAACTTCGAAGAGGTGTTTGTGTCACTTTTGATTTGTTCTTCAGAAAATTTCGGTGATTGTTGATACTTCAGAAAAGGTCAGTTTTTGCGTCGATCAGAAACAAATTAAGTTAGAATTAATATTGTTATTCATTTCAATATTATTCAGTGTCATTGAACGAAGTTGGGTCGTGTTATTTAGGTGGTGTGGTTTCTCTTCGGGAAATTTGATCAGGCCTAAAATTGTTTTTGATGGTTCGACTATTAGTTCCTTTTGAAGCTCAGTTCAAATTCACTTACTAAGAGGGAGGAAATTTACGCTATCCGATTGCGAGATTGGAAATTGCTAGCACAAAAAGCAAGCTTGACTGTATGCGGATTTAGTTTTTATATTTCCTAATGGAAATGAAAATTACTTACTGATCCAGGTTCGTCAAATTGAGTGAGTTTTTTTTAATATCAATCAGAAAAGTTAGATTTTGCCTGAACGCTATTTTAATCATGGCTATTTTGTTTTCAGGCATGTCTTTTTAAAATTGAAATTTTTTCGTCGTTTTGGGGGACTCCTATTTTGTTTGTGATGTATCACAGCTAATGCAAAACTCTGATTTGACTCTGTGTCAATTTTTCTTTCTTTGAAAATCTTTCAATAACACTATCTCCGTAAAAACTGATTCAAGCTTAGCTAGTCCATCTGATTTCAGTCCTTAACTGATTCGAACTCTGAAAATCAAATGAAAAAATCCATCTTTTGAATAGCATGCTTTAAAAATTTTAATATAAATCGATGAAAGTGATTAAATTAATTCAAAAATACTGCAGTTTCATCTTTTGCAAAGCTTTTTAAAACTTCAATTCTTTTTCGAAAAATGTTTTTTTTTCCTGAATCAATCGAAGATGTCGAACAAAATTGCATCGGTTTTTCAAAACCAACCGGAAGTTCCATTGCTTGGGCGATTAACGTTAAATTTAGGCGAAACTTTTTTAATGCGACTGGATTCAAAAAAATCACAGCTGTGTTCCAATAATAGTTAGAATCCCAATATTTTATCTCAGTTGATTCGAATTATTTCAAAATTCATTGCTCCGATTGTGTGCATTATAAACTTGGCTTGCATAATATTGCTATCAATAAACGTGTTTTTGCAAATCGGCACAAGCTTTCAAACTGACTATACTACTTTCAAGAAGGTATTCGATTTCAGAATGTAATCGCTTGAAATGAACTGAGTGCTTGAACATTTTCATTTTTAACGTTGATTAAGAGTCGATGAAAGTAGTTCAGACTGATAATTCATATGCCGTGATATTTTTTTTTTTCGTTTTTTTTCTTCAGGAAGAGTCCTAAAGTTTGTTTGTTTAGGCTCAAATTTATTTTTTGCGGTTTGATTTTGATCATGCTCAAATTCACTTTTTCGCATTTTGACTTCGATTTTTTTCAAGTTCGGTTCATTTCCTTTGTTAAAAGGAAGGCAAACTCCGCTATTGAATAGCAAACGTCACGGTTTGAATTCTTGAACAAATTTACTGGTCAAATAGTTTCAAGCTATCACAATTTACTTGAAATAATAACGCTTGCGATTAACAAGCGTTACCATATCGGAAGTTGAGACTTTTTCAGGTAAACAATTTGCTTAACATCACAGCATCAATTGTTCAGTTTTTTTTAATGGTTCAGCAAGATTGAGGTACCAATTCGGCCTGTTTCGTGTGGAGTTAACGGATAACGTCCAAGCTTGAGACGACAAAGTTTAGGTGTTCGGTTCTGACCATGAACTGATTTCTTTGAAATGTTTTTATTTCTTTAAGAATTTTAATTATCGGACTATCGTTTGTCTGCTTATGTTTTGTCGGCTTACTTTTCAAAGCATGCAATTTTCTTGCGGTGAAGCAATATTTGCTTGAACTCGGATTTTGTATTATTTCAATTTTTGTCGCCCAAATGATTTTTATGCTTTAATGGTTTCGGCTTACATTTTATTGGCTTGTTCACATTATATTGATTTATTTGAAGGCTATACATCAATTTTTATTGCTTTTTTGTGTTTCAAGACAAGAGAAGGGCTTAAAACTCTGAGTTGCAAAATTTTTAACTAAAAAGTTTTGTTGCAACATTTTTATGTCTCAATGTGCGTCTACCCAAGTATTGTCCGATTGTTTGCCGCTTAGTGAATTTTTTCGAATACTCGTATAAAGCTTGCGGTTTTTTTGTTGTTGACAGGTTTTCTTAAATTGCACAAAATTCGAGGCAATTATTTCTCATTTTTTTATAGAATTGGTATTAATTTATCTTTGTGGCCGCATTTAAGCTAGAAACATTTCTTTTGTGTGTTTTAGGGGGCTTTAACTTTTTTGTCAGTTTCTTGTTTCTTTTCCATGGAAACTATTTTCGCTCAAGGGTTGTCTGCTCAAGCATTGTCGGCCATGTAGCCATTTTGCGAAACTGGTTTTGAATCTTTTTAAAATTCAATTGGTCTACTTTGCACGTTTTCTAAAATAAACTTTATTCAAGACAAGCACTATCGGAAGTGCTGCGAAGTTTGGCTTGCCCCTGTGTCAAAAAGATGGTTTCATCCAATTACAGAAAATAAATCGAATCCATGACATCTTGAGTTTCGGTTTTCAGTTTAGGTTTGCGAACTAAGTGAAGTTTGTCTTGATTTTTTAATAGTAATTTCGTTTTTTTAATCGCAATTGGTGCGAAGCTGAGCTTCACTTTTGCGTTCAAAAGTGTAATGGTTTGAATATCGAGCATTAAGTGGTTTATTCTAAAAATAACATGAAAAACACTCCGATCAGGGTGATCACAAAGTCAGTGCCAAATAAACGCGAGGCGTGATCTGTCCGTGTCAGCAAATAAATATAAGTGCTAAAAAATTTTCGCCTCAGAGGTAAGTGAAATTGAAGCGTTAAATCCTCAGAAGCTTGAGCTTTTTTTTTCGTGATATACAGTGCTGATTTAAATTAACCGGACAAAACGCGTTAAAGTTGAAATTTAAAACGCGTTTTTCTCAAATTGGGTTGAGTTTAGGTGAAAACTTATGAAGACAAAACTTGCTTAAATTATAGCAGAATTAATATGGTGTAATTTGTTTTGCAAAATTCGGGCCCAAAATTTTACCCCAAAAATGGGTCATTTTGGCTTTTCTTAGTTAATCGAAAATTACGCCAAAAATAACCAGTCGATCACAGACATAATTATATCAAAGTGAGCGCCTTACGTAGGCCAACAAACTTTAATGAGGGTGTATTCTCCAAAAAAATTGCAAATCGTTTAAAAATTGTTTTTAAATCAAAAGTAGGTATTTTATATAGTAAAAACGACCTTTTTTGTCTATCAAACAAAAATAAATTAATTTATACATTGTTTTGGAGAATATACCCTTCTTAAAGTTTGTTGGGCTACGTAAGGGGCTCACTTTGATATAATTATGTCTGTGACCGACTGGGTGTTTTTGGCGTAATTTTTGATTAAATAAGAAAAGCCAAAATGACCCATTTTTAAATAAAATTTTGGGCCCGAATTTTGCAAAACAAATAACACCATATCAATTCTGCTAAAATTTTCAGCAAGTTTTGTCTTCATAGGTTTTCACCTAAACTCAACCCAATTTGACAAAAACGCGTTTTAAATTTCAAGTTTAACGCGTTTTGTCCGGTTAATTTAAATCAGCACTGTAGTTTTCAAAACATTAAGCTGTGAACATACAGTGCTGATTTTAATTATCCGGACAAACAAACAAAACTTGAATTTTTAAACACGTTTTTCTCAATTTGGGTGAAGAGTAGACAAAAAGTGAACAGAACAAAAGTTGCTTAGAATTTCATCAGAATTAATATGGTGCAATTGTTTCTCCGGAATTCTCAACCAAAGTTTTACCCCAAAAATTGGTCATTTTGGCTTTTCTCAATTAATCAAGAATTACGCTGAAACTACTTTATTAATTCACGAAAAAGTTATATCACAAGAAGCCTCTCACACAGCCCAACAAAGTTCATTTAGGATTAAACCTCTAAAAACCTGTATAAGAGAAAAAAAATTTTACTTGATAGTCAATAAATGTTATGTTTACTATACAAAACCCAGAATCTTAACTTAAAAACAAATTTTGAGCAAAATTTTGGTTGAGCAAAATTTTGGTTGAGAAAAAAAATGCATCATATTAATTCTGATGAAATTCTAAGCAACTTTTGTTCTCTTCATTATTTGTCTAATCTTAACCCAAATTGAGAAAAACGTGTTTGAAAGTTCAAGATTCGTTCGTTTTGTCCGGATAATTTAAATCAGCACTGTAATTTTGGAAACGTTAACTGTATGTAATAGTGCTAGACGTCATGTCAAAAAGAGAGGAAAAAAAGCTGTTCCAGGAAATATCAATGCCAGGCATTCATTTTTATCAGTGCCAGCAGTTTTCGGATACTGCGGTCACCCTGTAGATATTTCAAATCAAATTCAGATGCAAACAACGACTAATGAACAGGCTTCTCAGTTAGTGCAATACCAATAAGTGCTTTTTTGCATCACACATGCATCAAATATTGGAAATTCATTAGCATGTGATTTATCCGTTTTCGATGGCTAGTGTTTGTAACCAGTAAGACGCTCTGGCGAAGTTGCGAAGACATTAGACTCTAACTCTGGAGGTATAGGGAAATTTTTGTTTTGCGAAACTTTTTCACTTAATTATGCATTTTGTTGTATTTTAAAGCTCCCGGCTTGCATCTTTTTGCTTGCTTGCGAATTTAATCTTCACCTGTGTTTAAAGTTAAAAAAACTCAACTGGTTGATTGCAATTATGTATTACTTGTCTAAAATTTTATCACCTATGTGGCTTGTTATTGAGTACTACCTGAAAGTTTTTTTCTCAAAACAATGCGAGTTAGGGAGGTGGCCAATTATTTGTATTTTTGTCGAGAAGAGTGTAGATCGATTAAGCTTTTGTTCCGGGTTGGATTTTCTTTATTCCTTTGATAATTTCGCCTGTGTGAACATGAGTTGTCGTTGAACTGAGATAGATTGCTTCAAATTTTCCCATTGAGTTTTCAGGATCTACCTGACGCTGAGGAACAGAGACGACACGGGTCAGTTGTTCGGAGTGTGTGCTTGGCAGATACGACTGACGAAGAAGATAAGGCCGCCTGTCAATGTATTTGAGGCTAGTATCGCTCCTCAGTGCGCATATCACTAGAATACTTCAATTTGATTAGCCTATCAATTAGGTTTTGGGGTACTTTTTCACTGAAAAGTTTTTTTTTTATTTCACTCGAGTTTTTCTGTATAAACTCACAAAAAAACAAACACCTTAATTTCAGTTTTGTCTCCGTCTTTCAAGATATGTTTTCTTGGCTATATTTCAATCAAAACTATTGAGCATCATGAACCCAAATCTCAATACCTGGGGCTGGTAGGGTTTGGGAATGTGGTGATATGAGAAGTCCTAACGAATGCTCTAGTTCCAGTGCGTCTCTGAACCAGCCATGAAGACGCGATTGTTTGCAAGTACTTTGAATTTGCTGCTTGTGTTTAGATTGATCAGTCTTACATTTCATCAGTCTCGGATGTATACGCCAGAGAAGATGCAAGAGGAGATAATAAATTGAGGGAGGAATGTATTCAGTACATACAAAAGACTGTGCAATATGCCATTGAGACTACCTTAACTCGGCATAAACAGAAAGTGGCAACAGAGCATGTGTCTGCTGATTTGAAAGGACTAACTTCTTGTGAGCAATTATAGAATTATTTACTCTCAGGCGGTTTCAGTTGGAGTCCCATTTAAATTGAAAAAAATGGACGATGCATATAGAATTTTGGCAATGTTAATGTTTTTAAAACAATTTATCAATAAGGTCAATTCGCATGATTTTGCACAAATAAGGAATACCTCTGACGTGGTGAATCATTAGGTCAACACCTCGCTTACCGTAAACATGGAATTATTACAAAAAAGTAATTGCGAGTTTGCTGAATGAGTTGTGGGGTGAAGGTTCATTCTTCTATTTCACCTCCAAAAATGATTTGAAATCACCTGAGAGGAAAAAATGATAATTTTCCTCGTCAAGTTAGTGCTTGAATTGAAATTTAGATTCATTTTAAAAATAATTTTAGCGTAGAGTCATGAATTGTTCTATTTTTCTAAAATACATTGAGCAATTAAAATATAAATACTCCTGGTTTTTGACCGAGTCCAGTCGAGTATAGATTTTGCGGTCAGCTGCATTATATGAAAATACGTAGTGTCTCATACAAAAAGTTTAGTCTTAGTATCAAGGTGTCACCAGCAGAAACAAAAGAAGCAGAAAGGCCGTACTAAATTGTTTTTTTAAAGTGCATGCGACAAAAAATGAAATATCGATCAACAAAAGAAAAAACAAGGGAGAGTCAGATTATTGAGTCTGTTTTGTTATTAATTTACTTTTGTTAAGTAAAAGGCGAGTAGTGCGTTGATGTGTATTTAGTATTCAGTTAATTGATCGACAGGAGGTTTTAATGTGAATGTTGGCTAGGCTTAATCTAATTTGTCTAACAGTTTACCTTCTTCAAGCGACAGCTATTGTAGAGGGCAGTCCACTTGGATGCTTGAGACCTGTAGTTCGACTCCTGTAGAGAGTGTTTAATTTTCAAACTCGGATATTTTTCCTAGCTTTTTAAAGCTTTTCCTTGGCGTTTTGTAGCGTGTGCTTACGCTCTCGAATAATCAAAAAGCGCAAAAAATTGCATTAATTTAGGTTTGGAATTCGATTTTAGTTTTAAGATGGCCCAGCGGAATCAAATAATTAATTATGGACGTAGTTTTCTTGTCTTAAATTATGTACTACACAATGGAGCTTGCGATCATTGTGTTATATTACGAAGTTAACTTTTCCAAACCAACGCGCAACAAAGTGCTCATTTCGGTGGAGCTTTGGTGCATAGCATTGCTAGTTAATGGCATGAGTTCTCCGTTTTATGAGTGGCTTTTGTTTTGGGTATTTAAGCGTCAATGACAAAATGCTGTAGGGGCATGTGGATCTTGCTCAATTTCTGAAGGTTGATTCCCGTTGAGGGCATTTACTTTTAACTTTTTGTTTTTTCGACCCTTTTTAGAATTATTCTATGCGCCTGAGCTTACGAAGTTCAGCATCTTCTCGGTGCATGAAAACAGTAATTATCATATAAAATGCTGAAATTGAAAGAGCTTTAACGTGACATTAACATATTTTCACGCAAAGAGAACTGTTATTGTACGATGCCATCTTTTGATTGTAAGTGCCAGTTTTGATTGCAGCAGCTTGTTTGTTCAATTTATTGAAAACTTTTCAAACCAATTTGAGTGTTCTGAAAGTCGTTTTTTTGTCTCATTGACTTCTTTTCAGGCTAACCATTCATCAACTTCAAAAATGCAGCAATGGTGTAACTATTAGCGCGTACAAGCTAGCTTATGGACGATTAGATCATCACGAAAAGTTGAAAATCATCTATAATGTGGCACCTTTCATCAATCTGAAAACATATGTTGTAAACATCTTTCTTGTCAGTTTCGAAAATGGGAACTCACATTTAAAAATGTCAATATTTTGTCACTTTATTGTAGGTTGACAAAATTAATCATTTTAGCTCTGTGAAAACTATTATAAGCCTATTTTGTCTAAAAATTCCGTACGGCAGACATACTTTTGAGACAAATTGCCAAAATGGTGGTTTTGGGCACTAAATATGGGAACGTGTTTAAATGTATGCCCCCAGACAAAAATGATGGCGTAAGAATTTGTTTTTGTTGGTGAAAGTCAGGGTCAGATAGGGTGAGGGTTGCCGAAAAATTGCCTCTCACCCTAAAATCTTGGTCAAATTAATACAAAAAAGCGTCCTTTTAGGCCTGTTATTTTTCAAAAAATCGCTCGCGGCTTAAGGATAATTTTAGAAATAGGGTTTTCTCAGTGCTTTAAGATAGCTTGGAAAATTAATTTGATTGACCATAAAAAAGTTGACAAAATTTAAAACCCTAGTGATAAAAGCAACGAAATTCACTGGTCGTCCTGCATTGATCAATCAACCAAAAAGTGTTGCGGCAGCGCCATATTATCTGTTGTTACATCAACGGTTGTTGTTACATGAATAGTGTGTAAATAAATCGTGTTTTGTTCGCAATCAAAATTGATCTTTTTTTGGTTTGAATTTTGCTTTTTTTTAGTTCAATACAAATTTATTTGCTAAAAGCATTGCAATTTTGGCAAAAAAAATTGTGAATGAATTTCAGGTTCGAACTAGGATTTTCATTATGAGGCCTAACTAAGCGCTGAATTGGCGCACAATATCGTGTCTATAGGTCACTGAAATCCACCAATGTTCCAAAATGTAAGTGGATTCAACTTAAGTAGTGTAAAAATAATTGGTACGTTAGTTTTATCGCGGGTTCCGCAACGAGCGAATACAGCTATATGTTCTGGATTCCGCAATTAGAAACGGATTCCACAAATCAAGAGCGAGTTCTGCAAATGTTAGCGGATTCTGCAAACTGTGAGCGGATTCCGTTTAGGTTTTGCGGATTATCCTTGCTATTTGCGGATTCCCCTTACAATTTGCGGATTCCGCTTACAGTTGCGATTTCCGCGACAGCGCTTTTTTGATATACAGATATATCAATAACTATTTATGAATTCCCTAAACTCAAATTGTTATTGCAGACTCCGCAAATTCGCCCGTTTTTGAAGTGATTTTAGTAATACAGTGTTTGAACTAATTTTTCGTTGAACCCAAAACAGCAAAGAAGTTCAAAGACAACCAACAATGTTGCGGATTTTGCGAAAAATCTGTTTTTGACCTGTTGCGGCCTGTTATATTTTAGATTTCCCGTGGAGTAAAAAAATACTCATTGAACCGGTTGTCTCTATTTGGGCTGGTATAAAAAAACTGTCGATAAACAATGATTCCTGAAAATCAAAAATTTTAAACCTGATATATTTAGTTGTTCGAAGTTCCCCAGTTGAAAATGTTCAAAATAATCAGTCAGGTATTTTCGGTTTTTTTGAGTACATGGACACTTTTCTGCTGGCTAGGTTTTCCCTTTCCGGCTTCTAGGGTCTGAAACTGCACCGGTATGAATACTAAAAGCTTAAATTCTGAGCTGGCGCTTCAGTAGAATCTGTCCATTTAAAAGTACAAATCCAAATGGTTCGTTTGAATTTGTCCAAATTGGCAAAGCATGCAAACGTATATTCACGTTTTATTAAAGTCCAAAAGCTAAACAGAAACGTTTACTTAATCATTCTAGCAAAACACCATTAGCGAAGCCATACTAAAGAGACGATGCGATTATTTGTGTATTAAATACACGGACAGATTGACTCAAACAAACGTATCCAAACTGGTTTCTCTTCATCTTAGCAGTGCATTGTAAATCTATAGTTGAGATCATTGTCTAATTGAGATCACGGAGACAGCGGTCTAAACCCAAATCCAACTAGACTGGGCAAACTTAGAAGAGACGTTGAATCCCGTTTATTGCAATTGAATGTGGGTTAGCAACTGAGTTTACTCAACTGCCAACTGAAACCACGCCCAGCTAGAAATAAAGAAATAAATCTCATATCATATCCTACTTGCTGAGTTACAAATTATAAGGTAAGATTTTCATTGACAACCTTAATTATAAAAATCGATCTTCATGGTGTATCGCTACAGGGTACTGCAACCGGCTACTACACTTTTTCCCCCACCAACAAATTTGTTTACAGAACAGACACGAAACGGTAATCCCGGGTGGGCGGCTGTGAATGATTGATTTTTGATCATAGCATGTACGCTATTATGCTTGCGTAAATAGTTTAGAATAGATCGAAAGTTTTTAACACATTGGTTGTAAATTTACTTACGCCGATTTCTTACGCCATTTTTTAAAGCTTTTTTTTAAAAAAGGTATCATCTGTTCATGAACATAACGACTTATTAACCTCATATGGCGTTGTTTGATGGGCGAAAAAATAGCGTATACGTGTGTGTATGCGTTTTGAAGGGGACTTGAAAACTTTTCTGGATTATTAAGTTCAATGAAAACCATTTTTTTTATCGGCTCAACGGATGTCTGCTGAAGTATTGTCGGTTTTGTTACCGCTGTATAGGTTTTCTTTTGTTCCATTCTTTATTACCATGCGATAATCCAGCATATTGCAACCGAATACTGGACTTTTTCTTCTAAGTCACTTTATTCACAGCATCTTCAATTTTCTGAACTGCCGTTGTACTTGATCTCTAGTTTTATTGGGCGTAGAGTGTAGTGGTACTGAGCATAGAGATGATGTTCTTTCTCTTGTTTACTTTTTGTTGTCGGCTTTTCGGAGTTCGCCAAATTTCTGACGGCTCACTTGCCGGGTGTTTTTATTTCAGTTTTCAACTTACAAAAATTTTACATTGTGCAATTTTTTTCTTAGAAACTTCTACTGAGTTTCAAAATGAGTTTCAAATACTGAGGGGAGCAAATGCAAGATCGCTCACTCCCCTGTGTGCCTGCATACTCCCCTAGAGTTTTTGTTTACTTGACCCCTCTTTCTATGACCTTCGAAAAAGTGTGGGGGATTATTTGACCCATATTTTTGATTTTTTTTGTTTTCTCGATAACTACCCCTCTCAAACCTGAGTTTTTGGTTTCAATGATTAGAACGGTTTAGAAAAGTTCCCCTGCATAAGCGGCTACAAACAATTTTTTCTACTCAAAATTATGGCCAACGGAATAGTCAAATTCTTGATTTTTGACCGTTTTGTGACTCTTTTTGATTTTTCTCGAAAACTAACCTCTCAAATTTGATATTGGGGGTTCAATGGAGTTAACGGGTAGTGTGAAGCTCCACTGCATTTACGGACACTCGCAAAATTTTTTACAAAAGAAAATATTGCCCTCGGAAAAACCATATCTAAGATTTAGGGTTCAATTTAAAGAACGGGTTGTGGAGAGTTCATAATTTTATGCGACTATGCCTCATATTTTTCTGACATCAAAAGTTAAGGCCCTTGGAAAGTTTGATTTTTAACCGTTTTTTTAGTCTTTTTTTTCCTGAAAATTGCCCTCCCAAATGTGACATTTTGCAATCAATCGAAATTACAGGTTCCGTAAATTTTTTCTGAATAAGCGGCTACGCCCTAGTTTTTCACACAAAATGCTATGATTCTCGGGAATGTCAAATTTTTAAAAGTGGACCCTTTTTTGGACTTTTCTCACTAAATATCCTGCCAAATCTGAAATCATATGTTTTATCAAAAAGACAGGTTATTGAACGCCTACGTTTATAATTGGCTACGTCCAGTTTCTTTAATAAAAAAAGTTATGGCCTTCAAGAAAGTCAAAGTCTTGAATCTTTGACAGTTTTTGAAAGATTTTTGATTTTACGCAAAAACTACCGCACCAATTCTCAAGTTGTGATCAATCGAGACACCCAGTATTGGGAATCTTATCTGCTAGAGCTGCCAATACCTGCTTTTTGGAAAGTATTTTGACGGTTTTATAGAATTTTTGAATATGTTTAAGATTTTTTGGGGTTTTTGGAAAGTATTTTGACGGTTTTATAGAATTTTTGACCATGTTTTAGATTTTTTGGGGTTTTCTTAAAATTTACCCAATCAAATCTGAAATGAAAAGTTCAATTTAAAAAATCGGTTGCAATAATTAATACTGCAGAAGCGAGACTCCTTGATTTTCGTATGACAAATGTTATCTCCTTGGGAAAATTGACTATCTCAAAATTAGTAGAGAAACAACTAAGATTTTATGCAAAATTCATATTTTTGAAAGCATATTTTTTGTACAGGATGAGTATCGCAAAGCCATTCAAGGTTAAGCACGTACCTTCAGCTTTAGCTGGGCCCCTAGTTGTTTTTTCTTTATCGAGACATACGAAAATTTTGGCTCACCTAGTCTTTCAACATTGAAATTTTTTTCGACGACTCATGGTTTTTTATATTTATGTTGTATCGCAAGCGGTGCAAAGGTCCGTTTTGCCTCTGTGTGAAAACAAATCATCAATGAAGATTTATTTTCAATCGAATGTTTTTTGTTGATTAGGTTCATGATTTTTTAAGAATTGTGAAAACATTTCTGTCTAAGAACTTATGTAGCCGTCAATTTTTTTAATTAAAATTTGCTTAATCTTCTCATTATCCCCGTATATTGAAAAGATCAAGGAACTTTTGGAAACATCCATCAAACTTTTTAAATACTTCTTTTAGTTTGAAAATTACACGATATAAATCATATGGTTGTTTTCAGTTAGTTAATTCAACTTTGGAAACTTTAAAATGTGGTCATGTATAGCAAGTTGTGCGAGGCTCCGCTTCGTCTCTATGCTTAATAATCAAATGTCTTGCTTAGCATATTTTTCCTTTAATACTTTTTTATCGAGACAAATTTCAAAAATCTTGGTTGATGTACAATCTTTCGCCAAAAACGTTCAAGCAGACAAAAAAAAATGTTTTTTTTTCTCCATAAATCAAAAACCGATAAAAAACAGCAGTGTTTTTTCCACAGAAGAGTAAATTATCAACATAACAGCCTTTTTGACCTGATAAATATGTTTATTCTATTTGATTTATGTGGTCAAGTAATTCGTGGTCAATTTCATAGCAATTTAGATGTTTTCTTCCAATTTTTGAAGTTTCGACTCAGAGCTTTACCCCCACTTGACTCAGACTTTTCATCAGAGCTCCAACATTCTCCATGATGTTCAAATCGGGGCTGTATGCTATTCATTTTATGGTCTACTAATTTTTTTCATCGCGACATTGTCTGACCATTTTTGCTCAATGCATTTTTGCTCTGACCATTTTTGCTCTGACCTTTTTTGCTCTATGCTTCATCAATTTCGACCCAGTTTTGCATATTTATTGATATAATTTTGCTTAATGGCGTCTCTCTGTTAATTAAGGCAATGCAAATATCACCAAGCCAAAGTTCCCGTATGGTGTAAGAAAACCCCAATACGTCAACGAGAAACGAAAACCTTTTTTCATCGCTCACTGTACTGACGCCATACCCGATCACTTTTGTCCGCGTTTGGTACAAATATGATTTCGCCTGAGAACAACAGTCTTCAGAATGCTCGTTTTTTTCCCAATAAAAACCGCTTACATTCTTAGCAAGAATTTATTTCGCCTTTTACTCAGTTCTTTAGCAGCACTTTTAGACAAAAAATGACTGGATACCATACCATAAATATAATGACTAATTTTTATCATTTCTTTTTTATGTATGCAATCTTCCAAGCTGATGAAAACGGAACGAGATAAATAATGTTGAACAAAATGGGTGGTTGAAAACTATTTCTGAAACAAATTTTTTGTGGCTTTCTTCTTCTCTGGTCTTTAAATTATCTAATAAAAAGAAAAAAAAGTTATAAAAAAAGGAAATGATAAAAAATAAGTCATTGAATGTATGGTATCTAGTTATTTTTTGTTCAAGAAGAAGTGTGCAGCCGAAGAACTGATTAAAAGGCAAAAAATATTCTTGCTAAGATTGTAAGCGGTTTTCATTGGACAAAAAAACTAGCATTCTGAAGACGGTTATGTTCTCAGACGAAATCAGATTTGCTCTAAGCGCGGACGAAGATCAGTACAACGATGGATATGAAATATAGCTAACTGTATAGTAACCAGCGCAGATGCGAGGACCTGAAATGCTTAACTCCAGGTCAAGGGTTCATTTCTAACAGATGAACTAGGGAAAGGTTTATTTTTAAGGCTTTTTTTCACTTTTTTTCCTTTTTTCACTTTTTACCATTTTATAGCTACTTTTTGTCGTTTTCTTGTCTGTGTTTGCAAAATGCAGCTTCACCTCTGTGTTGATTATAGCCATGAGTTTTTTATACAACGAATTAAAAATTTTGTAAAATTGGGTCTACCTGTAGTAAAAAAAAAATTACTAATAAACTCTTCAAAGGATATCCAGATGCTGTGCCAGGAGCTGAAAATTTTCTAACCACAATAATTTGAACGATTGAATTCGAAAAAAGGAATGAGGGATCAATTGAGCAATCTCCCCCCGTAATGACCAATTGAGCTATCTCCCCCCCAGCAAAAACGAATAAACACTTCAAAAAGACGTCAGCAAACGGAAGTAGATGGATGTTTTGTTTATTGCACGCAATCATTTGACCGACTGAAGTTTTTTTTATATGAGTATCGAGAAAAATTTTGAAAAAAAAACTCGAAAATTATGAAATTTTTTTTTTGCAAATTTTTGTATAGGGGACCATAGCCTCATCGAGGAAAGCGATTTACCAGGGTTGGTGCTCTAGCCTTGTATCTGAATAGCAAAAAAGGTTCTCCGCAGCACCTTAATATTGTACACAAAAGCTTTTTGTCATTTTAAGAAAGAAAAAAGTCGCTTTTTATGCCTGATTTATTGATTATTTTTTCTATTTCAATGAAACTTTTGAGCTTTGATATTGTGAATTTTGGCTTTCCACAGTCGTAGGAAAATATGGTTTATGATTTCTTGTCATTCAAACTATTTTCAAGTGGTTATAAACATGTCTCAAGTACCTATTGAGCTATCTCCCCCCCACGCGAGATTGGGAGGAGATTGCTCAATTGATCCGGAATGAGTTTAGATCAAAATAATTGTTCAAAAATTGTTCATCTGGTATCTAAATATACTCAAGAATCGCGCGGGAAAAACGAGAAAAAAATTGAGTTTAAAACCAACGCTAAATGGTCCTTTGTACTTCTCAGATACATCGAAGCAATTTTTGATTTCATCTTGTTGTATTATTTCATGAATTCTCAAATTTCATGAATTCAACTTGAGGTAACTTGTTTTTAACGTTCTGTAATTTGTCCAGGTATCTCTCAAATTGTTATTCAATATCCAAATCCCCTATATTCAGTAGTTTATTGTCCTTAATTAAGTTCTATCTTACCGTTTTTTTGTGTTTGCGAAAGTGCAGCTTAATCTTTGTGTATAAGTCTGGTTTCAAAACCTTGATGCAATAATTGGGTGTTGCGACCCATGTTAAAACCAAAGGTCTGTTCGTTTCTAAAGTATATCCGAGCTTCATCTGCAGATCATCAAAACGATCCGAACAAGTATCAAGTCGCCAGGTGCAATGTTTTGGTTGATTTAAACAGGTATCGACTATGGCTGACGGGGATGATGAGTCATACGCGGTGATAGGAGCAGACCACGATTATATCTCCCCTTCCTCTACCGACGCCCATCTTCCTTCTGTTCTGCAGGAACAGGTGGAGTTCACTGACTACTACTTCTCCAAAAGTGCATTCAAGGAGAAACTAGTGGCACCCCTGGACAAGCTGTATGCCGCAGACGATAAGTTCATCGAGTACAGTAAGTGCAGAAGTCAAAAAATTGCATCTATGTCAGTCCTTTCTTATGTAAAATTATGAGTTTTTGGAATTGTATCTAGCTGGCGACCATTTGATGAAGCCGCGGATTCATGACGGTTTCATGAAGTCAAAAACGACGTGGTACGCTTTTATGACGTGGTTCGCTTTTACCAGCGTAATGACAAAATTTGGTCATGCTGTTATATAATGCGTTTAGTGGAAGTTACTGGTATAAAACTGTTTTGTTTGGCTTTGACTGAAGCCTCGTAAAAATATTAATATGGCCCTCGATGCAGTGATTTATGTATTTTGGGGTCCCTGATAATTAGCCTGGGAACTATGATGAGGAATATCCGCTTTATGGAGAGACAATGTTAGTTTAGGGGTTGGGAAACGTTAAGATCGAATTCAGGTAAAGTTCATGTAAGTTTTATTTATTTTTACCTTAAGTTTACCTGAAAATAAATATGATCTAAAAATGTTGACTATATCTAATTATGCTCTAATTTAAAAGTACATCAGCTGGTGTGATTAAAACGTTGGTTTGTTTTGTAGCTTCGAAGTACAGTGCTCTGTTGCGCTCATTCTCAGCCGAGCTGGACAAACTGAAGGACAAGTACGAGAGGGCGACTAGCAAGTTCAGTGAGGTGTACAGTGTGAACCAGTGCTACTCCGCCTTCTCGGACATCCTCAAGTGCCAAAGTGCACTCATGACAGAACACTCAATACAGGTAGCCAAAACACCCCTCCCCCTAGCGCAGCTCAACTTCACCAAGGTATAGACAATTCGTCACGCAGAATGGTTTTTCTGTTAGTGCGAGATTTCAAAAAATGAACAGCGTACTGTTCTGAAAAAGGAACACCTGAAAAGGAATTCGGCTCCGACTGGATTTTTACACTCTAAAAAAGTTGAGGTAAATTTACCTTAAAAAATACCTTAAGTTACCTCAACAGTTAAGGCTTCGGCTTTATTCGTATGTAACTGTTCCAGATGAGCAAAGAGTGCTTCGGCTCAACAATGAGGAAGGGACTGAATGATCAGAAGGCGGAGTTGGACAAGCTGAACATGGAGGTGGATCGGGCGGACAAAGCACACATGGACACAGTCACCAGTCTGAAGAGCAAGAGAAAAGCTTGCCACTCTCTAATTATAGTAAGTATTCCCACACACCCACATCTAACAGTCTTAAACGCGGAACTCCTCCGCCGTTCCCACTGACCTACTTAAACGCTCATAGACAAACGCGCACGTTTCCCAGCATGTCAATAGATGGAATCTATTTATTAAAATAATCACCTTTGGAGGTACAATTTCTCATATTTCGCGCTATATAATTTTTCGGTGGGTATCCACAAGTACCAAAATGATGAATTAGTCCCATTTGTACCAAAATAAAAAGCAATCGCGTTAGTGCCAAAAAAAATCAATTGGCCAAAAACTACTAAGCCGACTATTTTAAGCTCTTGGTTTAAGGTCACCGGTGGGCGCACTACGCGCGCGTCGCCGCTTTGCGGCGATAAACGGCTCTAATTTTCGTATAGAGTCCTACCCTCTGTTGGCAAGCTCGCAACACGTTGGCGCGACTGCGGCAGCCACTATTCTGCTGTTTAGTTTTGGTTAATAATTCGTTGGCTTACAATTCGACCACTCAGAAATCGAGTTGAATAACTTTGGTACAAATGGGACCGATTTTTCATTTTGGTACAAATGAACGTTGGTACAAATGGGACTTCGCCAATTTTTCAGTTCGCACTTGCAGCAAAAATAAAAATAAAAAGTTTTTTTTTAACTGGTACTTCACTTTATTCTGGGCACAGACCGCGGGGGAAAATTAAAAGCGATCCTCCGTAACGGCGGCGTCGCTCATGCTTGAAGGACCGAATGCTTGAAAATAACTTTAACTTACTTTCAGCCAATCAGAATTGAGTATTCAAAATATCAATAAAAACCGCGAAAATCTCAAAGTAAGAAAATAAATCCAGGCCATTAGTGTTAATATTGACCGATTAGATAATAAGCAGATGAGTTTTCAAGACTGAAAAATTCTTATGATTTTGACCTCATTAATCTTGATGATTATCTGAATAGTATTGCGGTGTTAACCCGCAATTTGTAATATTTTTGATTATTTTCCACTGATTTGACACATTTTCTGTTAATATTGACTTCGATTTTGTGAGAAAGGCATTTAGCCAATACAAACGCTTAGCGGTTTTAATTGGTTGAAATTTTTGCAAGCTTTCGGTCCTTCAAGCATGAGAACCCTTCCCCTCCGTAACGATCTAATAAGTTCGTATTTTGGTCCTTTATCATATTCATAAGTGGCGTTGTAACATTTTGCGCTTCCTCGCTTACCGAAAACAAGTTGTTTATTCCAATCACGCCACAATGATATTGGGAAGGCAAACTTTTGGTGTTGGACGTTTTGTTGGTGGCGTGTCACGGAACCGAATACCCGGACAGCCCAAAAATAAATTCTTTCCCGGATAGCCGAAAAACAAATTCGTTCCCGGATAGTCGAAATTTTGGATCGACTCAACAATTAGCCCCCCTTCTACCCCCTTACCCATTTCTTAATAGGAGGAGGGGGAGAGATTCGTTACTGGGTACCATAAGAGGAATAGTTAAAGAGATCCTACAAGCTCCAAATTGATATCATAAAACATACCAAAGAGGGACTTTTTGGTTGGCGAGGAGGTCGAATCCCTGTAGAGATCGGACTTTTGTTGTTAATTAATTCAATGAGAGTAAAATTATTTGCCAATCAAATCTCTTAAAACTTTCTGGAATTTTGTTAGCTAACAGGCTGCAAAGTTTTGAGGCATTTTTTGACCAATCAAAACTCGTGTCAATTTATTGAAGAGTTTAGTGATTTAATTTAATTAAAATGGGAGGTATTTAAATTTTTCGGCTATCTGGGGAATGCGTCTCCGTGGGTACGCACCGTTTTGTTGACATGGAAAATCATTTTCTACAAATAAACGTCAGACAGGGTCGAGTGATATATCATATTGAAGTTAACTCTTTCAAGAATGAGAAAGCGATCTCCCAATTCACAATGTTCACGGTTTCCTTACTCGTTTAGCGCATACAGCTTCGCCCTTTATCTAAGAAAAAGACAGATTCTCTAGAAAAAAAAATCGAAAAAGGTTTGTTAATTTTTTTCAATTTTATTTTGAATTCATTTTGTATGGTTATAGTACAACAAGCGATGTATAAACACAAACCACACAGGGAAAAATCACGAGCCGAACATTCTTCTAGGAGTTTCCCTGGAGTAAAAAATTAAGTTAAAATGCCGAGGTGGGAACATAGTGGGAACTGTGATACTGCAACTGGGTTATTTTGAAGATTGGAAATGGTGAAAATTGTTTAAGGACAGTGAGCGAGTGGAGGACAAGCGGCCTGATCCCTCAGTGGTCAGTGAGAAGCTGGTCAAGTACAAGAACAACAGGGACTTGGCAGCCAGGAAACTGGACGAATCCAACGAGGAATACATCAAGACATGTTCAGGTACGCGACCAGACGAGGTAGATAGAAAAGGAAAAGGTATGAGGCAAGGGCGATATGTTCGCACAAGCCGTTAAATTGAGTATACCGTGCAACTCTTGAGAGCATCTGGCGTAGAGACCCATGTTTGTGACAGCAAATGCTCGGAGTTCGAGTCCGGCCTGGGCTCTGTTTTTTCGTACAAACTGGAAGTTTTATGCTTTTTCAGACTATCCTCTGTCTGTTTATTTTGGCCGTCTTAGTTCCCGTAGCTTGGACTCACTTTGAAGGTTCAGCTGCTTTAGGGTCTTTTGACATTTGAAATGCCATTTTTTAGTTCCAATGGTGGAGGTAATTGACTGACAAGGATTTTACAGATTTGCATTTTTTTTTCCGAAAATTTAGAACAAATTTTCAATAAAACTGATATAGGTTTTTTCGAAAGTTTTGCTTCGTCGATTCATCTGTATGCAATTATTACTCATGAAGTTATTACGCTCGTCGCTCGCAATGGCAACAAGGTCAAATTTTTCCCCATAAACAATTAGCCTAAAGGAATCACTGAGTCGTTTCCATAAATTGGTGTTTTTGTCAACCAACAGGCATAATTTGAGCATATCTGTTTACGCGGTCGTATATTTACCAACATAGTTCGATATGATTTCTATTTTTTGTGCATTCGTCGTAAATGTTTTCGTTTTATATCATATTGGCTAAGTGACCTCGTAATGTGTCGTTTAATGGGCGACACAAATTTTTTATGCGTGTGATTCGTTTGAGGGAGTACTTAAAACTTCTTCTGGATTTTTGTTTTTTTTTGTATGAAAACAACTTTTTTCTACTCAGCGGGTGTCTGGTCAAGAATTGTTGGCATTATTTCCGCTTCGCTATATTTTTTTGAAACCTTTTTAATGCTCAATTAATTATTAGACATAAGTGCATAATTCTTCATCAAGTGCATATATAAACGCCAGGTATTTTCTTGAATAGTTGGCATCTCTAGATTGACAAGCAGGCAACATGTATCAGCTGATTTTAAATAAACCTTCAAGGCCATTGAACATTGTCAAATTGAATATTATCGAGCATGGTTAGACACAAAAGGTCACTTTTTTTTGTTAATTTCAAGCTACATCCGTTTCATTAAGATGCCTGCAATGCTGCTTTTCAAGCAGAAGTTGAACTAAAGACTCTTAACTAAGAGCTCTGGAATTAAAACTCGGATGCTTCATGTCTTGTAGGATCGGTCATCCTACCACCTTTTTTTGCCAAACTCAGACTTTGGCTCAGAGTTTTACCTTGAGAAATGGTTGCAGTGTAGTGAAGGTTAATGAGTAGTACGTAGCTCGGTCTTGATGAATCAACAAATTAATTAGCGAAGTAAACAATTGGTCAAGTTGCAAAATCGACCAAAAAACAGACTAAACGGGATTTTAAAACGGTACCGATTTTGCAAAGCCCCTACCAAATGGAAACTACCAAGGCTAGCTTTATGAAACTCATGGGACGGATACTAGAGATGATTTGACCCGGGAATGCAAAAATCCAGACACTTTGGACCCCCCGGCCCCAAGTGATAACGGTTCCTGGAAGTTCAAATGGACCTATCAGAGCTCAGTAACCAGCTGTTGGAATGAAACCAAAACATAGTATGTTATAGACCTAGTTGAGTGAAGCTTAAATTTAGAACCCCAGACCCCCTGGAACCCTACTTCCGCTGCTGTGCCTTATGCGAATAGTCCCCACCCCGAATTCCGGAAGTCGTTTCTCGGGCCCCACTGAACGCAGGGAGCCATAACTTTGGGATATGATAGATAGTGTCAAAGTACATGATTTATTATAACCTGCGGTTGAACCGGAAGTTATTGGGACTTTGGAAAACCACCCCTAAAAATAACCTCCATTTGACCTTTGGGCGTCTAGGACCCAATTTGTATAGAAAACATCAGGATTACCAACGGAAAGTGGCATATTCATTCGACCCCGGCCCTTGGGAGTGGGAATTGGTCACCTTGCTAATATTTGAGAGGGAATTTACCTAATGGGAAATGGAGCAGAAGCTGAAAAAGATATAACTTATACATTGCATGTAGTGGAACTAATTAAAGTGGTCGTACTGGAGGAAACATTTTGCTTGGATTGTAGATGCCAACCGGTGGGAAGATGAACAGGCCAGGATGGTGCTGCCCACCTGCTTAACAGGCTGGGCACTTGACGAGTTCACGAGTATTCCGGCACATTTCAGAGAGGAAGTCGATGGCTTCCCGGAGCCTACGTTAGGGAGGATGCTTGACAAACTGTATCGACGGTTGATGCCATTCCAGAGTCTGGCGGCAGCCAGAGCTGAGTTCCAGAGCCTGATGCAAGGAGAGAAGGAAGGCTTGCGAGAGTTCTCGAGGCGAGTCAGGTCGCTAGGTGACGTGGAAAACAGAAACATGAAGGAGCAAGCGAGAGACGACATAAACTGTGAGCAGTTCATAGACGATGAAGAATTGCAGGAGTAACTTCTACGAGAGGAGTTTGAAAGTTTCAGTCAGGCGGTAACACGAACTCAGTCCCTTGAACTGGCGAAAACGACTGCCAGAGCGAGAAGCGAGAGACGGCCAAAATATATTCGAGAGCTGCATGGCGCATCCGAATTCATGTCCGGATCTACCAGCGATGATCGGGAAATGGATAGCGCTAGAGGTGCAGAGTTTGCGGCACGATAAATTGGCGACTCAGATGCAGTGGCAAAACTCGCGGCACAATGACCTAGTGACACAGATGCAAAGTATGACGTCTATGATGGGTAGGTTCGTTAACTCTGCTATCGCTGCTTCCCACCCACAAAATCTACCCCGACAAGAAACAGCCCAGCAACCCAGGCAGTAGTTCGACCACAATCAGGTTGAAAATGATGGAAATTGGCAGTATTACGAGAGCGCTCGTTATGACGCGAAGACAATTGCCGCGCATGGAAGCTGTTTCAAGTGCGGTCAGACGGTCAATTTGCGAAGGAGTGCCCCCGAAACACGTCGAACCATATAAACTACCGAGGGACGGGACAGTAGAGAAAATTTAAAGAGGATTTGTCCCGGCCATTTCCAAAAGACAGCACGAAGCCAGACGATATGCCACCGCAACCGCAGCTCATCAACGTAAGCAGCCGAGCAGCCCACGCAATCTCCCAGGGGAGGGGCAACAAAAGGAGACGATAGTGGGACACGAGCAGGTGATGTCACTTTTTCACCGACTACCACCAGCCTCAGTAGACAGGTGCAAGTCGGCGGCGAATGTGCAGCTGGAGACGAAAATACGCAACGAGCGTGCCGGTGTCAGCCATGTGGCAGATGGTGGACCCTACGAGGCAGTTACGGATGCTTTGGTGGTCGGGACGTGTGTAGAGACACTTCTGCATATTGGAGCAACGACTAACCTAATCCGCAGTGAGGCGGCTCGGAGTCCTGAAGGCAAGCCAGAGATACGGCCATACCAGGGCCAGTTACATAGAGCAGACGGACAAGGAAAGGATGTCGAGGGACACATCACAACAAACCTGGAGTAAGGAGAGATTGACGACGACATTGAAGCACTAGTGGTTCCCGAGCTAAAAAACCAGATGGTCCTGGGACTACGATCGACGAAAAAATACAAATTATGTCTGAATTTTGGTTGCGACAAGTTACGGACGGGACCGACAAAAGGGTCTGAGGTTCAGGTGCGTTATGCGATTCTCAAACTGGTTCCGAGAAAACTGCATACGGTGCCGCCAGATCCAGGGGGCAGACAGAGTCGAACAGTATCACGGATCTACAGCTGTGTGCGAGGCAGATTCAGGAGAGCTTGAGGAGTTGTGGCTCGATTGACGAGGTACCCGAAAGTTTGCCGGGTATTTACCAGAACCAATGTGTAAGGGGGGTTCAAGAGGAAGACGAAATCACAAGCTGACTGGGCAGCGGACGACAAAGACGACAACAGTGAAGTTTACCCCGAAGTAGTCTCGTTAGAGGGAAATCGGGAAATCGGGAAATCGGGAAAGGTTGCGAGGCTTCACGAGACAGCGACGAACACGGACAAAGATAGCGAAACGATTCGATGTAAGCGAACACCCGCTGAAAATGCGAAGATGCAGAAAGAAGACGAAGCGATCGCCCAAGTAATCTACTGGGCAGGAACAAGCGACGAGACGATTGACATGGCGTCGTTTGGGATGAACCTTATCCCAAAGAAGCAAGCAATTCAGTACGGACCCGTATGCCGTTTGCACCAGAGTGCAGAAGGGAAGCAGAAGCGAGCAGCGGGTGAAGCCTCATTTGATCCGGGAATCAGATTCACTACGGTGGATATCTTGGGACCAGTGACAAGGGCGAAGAGCACCGGAGCGAGGCTTGTGCTGGTAATGACGGATCTATTCCCGATGTATGCGATTGCAGTTCACCTGGTGACAACAGATTCAGCTTGAGTTGGAGTTCCCAACGTTTTGCGAACGGATCAAGGGAAAAGTTTTGGAGGCAAATTGATCCAGGAGAGGTGCCGACTTGTGGGCATTGACAAAATTCACCGTGGGAATATTGTCGCGAAGAAATCGAGTAGTGGTGGAGCCACTAGTTAATCCTCCTGGGATAGACGGAGTCTTGCGACGGCAGAGCGACGCGGTGGAGACCTATGACGAAAGGGAGATGGGAGCCAGCAGGTAAGAAGAGGCCGCGAAACTCCCGAGCGAAGCTAAAGGTAGACTACCGGATGAGACGGTGGTGGATAAACCTGTGATGGAGAGTGAAACTACAGATGTAGATAGACCAGTTTGAACAAGAAAGCCACCAGTTCGGTTTGGTATTGGCGAGTATGTGAGTTAAAACTAATTTTCTGAAAATTTTGTCATTCAAAACTTGGGTGCTCGTTTTTTTTTCAATGTGCGACTCCACATGAGTTTTTTGTGTGTACCTGTTGAGCATCAACTCTGTTGAGTAAGAGAGAGGTTGGTTCGTACTACAATAAGTAAGGTTATTAGCAGACAAATCCCTAGTAAGGATTCTCTTAACAAATGGTGTTTACTAGTTAAACTATTTTTAATCTTGGGAAATTGGCTGACGGGTCCGCGGTTAGATTTTAGGAATTGTATAACTGAAACTAGGAAGGATAAGTTTAAGGTTAGTTATCAGCGAGATAGTAATTTTGCACACTGGCAAACGGGAGCAAAAGACAAGGGCATTTACCTTGTTGTTAAGGGACTGGCAAGCTTAACAGTAAGTTATAATAGATTTATTAGACTGGATAGCTTTATAAAAGTTGAGTATATTTTGGATTTAAGGTGTTGGATAGGGTTAATTTAGATAATAGAAAAGTAAAACTGTTATTGGGGACAAAAATAGACTAAAAGGGAAAACTGTAGGATTGGTGATCTTAACACTTTTTTTTGCCAAATTCAGACTTTGACTGAGAGTTTCACCTTGAGATGCGCATGCAGAGTAGTGCGTAGCTCGGTATTGACGAATCAACAAATTAATTAGCGAAGTAAAAAATTAGTCAAGTTGCAAACTGGACCAAATTAAACAGACTAAACAGAATTTTAAAACAGCACCGATTTTGCGAACCCCCTACCAAATGGAAACTACCGGGGCTAGCTCTATGAAACTCTTGGGACGGATACTAGAGATGATTTGACCCGGGCATGCAAAAATCTAGACACTTTGGACCCTCCGGCCCCAATTGGTAACGGTTCTCAGAAGTGCAAATGGACCTACCAGAACTCAGTAACAAGCGGTTGTAATGGAACCAAAACATAGTATGTTATAGACATACTTGAGGGAAGCTCAAATGTAGAACCCCAGACCCCCTAGACCCCTGCTTCCGGTGCTGCGTCATATGCAAATAGTCCCCACCGCGACTTCCGGAAGTCGTTTCTCGGGCCCCACTGAACGCAGGGAGCCGTAGTTTCGGGATATCATAGGTAGTGTCAAAGTACATCATTTATTATAGTTTGAACCATATCCGGCGGTTGAACCGGAAGTTATTGGCACTGTGGAAAACCACACCTAAAACCGGAAATAGGCAATTTACGCAAAAAAATGAGCGAATGCAATTTGATTTTACAACGGCGAAAGACACTATAACTTTTTCCCAAAAAAAAGACCCCTAGTGATTAAAACACCTCCGACGGCTCATTCCGGTGTTAATAGCTTTTTCCCGGGAAAAATGATAACGGACCTTAGAAGTGGGATAACTTGGGAAGTATCGATGCGTTATGGACGAAACTTGGTAAGAAGGGCCCCTAAGGGATGCTAAAACTGAATATAGATGATTGACCCCGGGTGACCCTGGGGTAACCTCGAATTGACCTTTGGGCGTTTAGGACCAAATTTATGTAGAAAACCTCGGGATTAACAACGGAAAGTGGCGTGTTCTTTCGACCTCAGTGCATGGGAGTGGGAATTGATCGCCTTGCTAATATTTGTGAGGGACTTTGCCTATTGGAAAATGGAGCAGCAGCTGAAAGAGATAGAACTTATACATTGTATGATTGAAGTAGTGGAACAAATTAAAGTGGGCTTGCTAAACAATGAGTTCAACTTAGCCTGAAGAGTGCGCTATTGATGGAAATTCAATCTGACTGAAGAAAAATTGTTTCAGAGGAAATTAGCAGTAACAGAGGCATAACACGGAAAAAAGATGTCCTAAATAGTACGAATGAAAGGGTATTTACTTAGCTCCCCGGAGGTGGCTTTTCCGCTACTATATGACCCCTAATAAGCGAACTACGTTCCCCTGATAGGTATGAGGTCGAGATTTAAACAGGGTATATATCGGAAATTTAGATGCTTGGAATGAAGTAGGGACCTATTAAAAGGGTTTTCCCCTACATCTGGGAAGTCGGAACACTAATGGGATACTTAATAAGAACTTTTTAACTTTGGGGAGATTGATTAATCAAACATAACTCAGTTGGAGGTGAAATTGGACTTGATATTTGCACAAATTAGTTAGAGATACCTAAAATGAACTTGGAATTGAAGACTAGTGTCGTCAGAGAAAGAATTCAGTTAAGACCTTGCGAAATTGGTACCAACGTAATTGTCAGGACTTATAAGGACGACGTAATCATGACTAAAACTCAAATGGACAAATATTAAAGAGAATAGCAAACAGCCTACCCCTACGCAGACAATTTGAGCTACTAGTGAAGGTAGTTGGTTCTCAGTTACATAGAGAACAGTGGGAGCTACTATTAAGAATAGTTGGTTCTCAGTTAGGAAGAGAACAGAGATAACTAGTAGTGAGATTAGTTGGGTTCTCATTAGTTAGAGAAACAGGAATTGCGAAGAAAAGAGATCAGTCAAAATACCTCAAAGGAATAGTGATCCCTAGCAACACTTTTAGTTTTAGTAGGTCGGACTGAGTGATTGAGCGGAATTAATGTGAGTAATTTGTTAATTAGGATTCTCTAGAGAAAAGAGAATGGCAATTGTGTTGATTGATTGCGGACCCTTTCCTTTTGATTAGATTACTAGAATATATTCGGGCCACCTAGAGCCTTCTGTATTTGGACCAGAATTTATCTGAACTTAATTACTACTGGAATTTCTTGAGATCGAAGAGAGTGAGCAAGACAGCCTCAAGAGCAGCATAAAAAGGGGCAAGTAACAAAGTACAGTACAGAGTAGTTGCCACCAACTTAATCCTTTCGGAAATGTGGATAGTAGTGAATCTCGGTTGCCCCGCTGAATTCATTACCAAAAGGACCTTTTTGCGGTGCCGTTAAGTTAGAGTGTGTGAACGGACCTATAGAAGCAATCCCCAAAATCTACAAATCTTGATATTTGTAATGGCTTAATTTAATTTCAAACTTAACTAAGCATAAAAATTTTAACAGAATTTTATGCCTTTTTTGCTCATTTTTGTTAAACGGAATTCTCCTTTCGCGCTTATTACCCTTGCGACAAGCAAGGGTGTTGCAATCGGGTACTATAATTTTTTCGTATAAAATTTTTCTTCTGGGAACTCTAATGGATTTTGCTGCTGCCAGAAGCATATTTTTAGGCTAAAAACATTCTATTTATGTGGCATTAAAAACTGATTTTTCATGTTGTTCATTTTCAGTTTTTTCTTTCAATTTTTTTTGTCTATTTGGTTTAATAGTTTTCGGCTTTTTAAGATTAAATTAGTGATCTCTCTTCTTGCATCGTTTGAAGATCGAAGAAAGATTTTTGTGCGCGTGTGTAAGTTCTTTAAAAAAACCTGATCTAAATTTTGATATTAATCAGAGTTTTTTCGCCATGAAGGGTTTCTGGTCAAGTATTTTCGTCTTTTTTACCGCTGGTTAATTTTAATTTCAAACTCCATCAATTATCCGGGGCATTTGGCATAGAGGTAACACAACTGCTTGAAACGGCGAAGGAGTTTGGTTGAATTCGGGCCAGGAAATGTTTTTTTTTGCAATCTAGACTCTTCGTGCTTTTTCGGACTATCGTCTCTTTCTTTTTGTCGGTTCAGCTTTCCTCCCTTTTTCCTAAAATTTTTTTTGTATGTTTTTTTAAATTTTGTATCACAGGTGGTGCCAAGCTCAACTTCGCTTCTGTGTTTGATGGTTGCTTCTAATTCTAAATAAATAATTATCTTCTTGCTACTATCGATAAATAGGAAGCTGAAATTTTTTTCGAGGAAGCTGTGCTTGAGTTCAAGAACCTCAAGCACGTCATATTGCAGGTGCTACTGCTAATTGAACTAATATAATACTTAATTATCTGAAATTATATAACTTGCGATGGTTTTAGTCTTGTAAAAATTATTCAAATCGGATATAGTCTTAAGTTGTTTGGTAAAAAGTAGTTTGACAGAATTTTATCAACTAACTTGCTTTATATAAAATACAAGTCTGATGCTTTTGGTGACTAGGTTCGTGGTTTTCCTCAGTTCAGGTTTTTTTAAAATAATATTGGATAGCTTTTTATGCTTATTGAGAATTGCAATAATGTTTGTGGACGTTTGTTTTCGCTTTAAGCGCATGACACCCCCAAAGTCTTTTTTTTTTGTGAGATATTCGGAGTTTTGCTGTGTTTGATTACAAAATTTCCGAAGAAAAGTTAGGTTTTTTTACCTTTTTGAACAAGGCACCTTTACTTGAGTTCATTTTGTCCAATGATCCTTTAGTCAGTCCTGGATTGAAATATCAAAAATTTTTCTGGAGATTTATGGAAATCAAAAGAAGGGGGAAATAGTTAACAATTTCCCTTATTTTTTTTCCAGATTCGAACAAAGCAAGGCTGGCATTTGAAATGACTCTTCAAGATGCCCTGTGCAAGTATCAACACGTAGCCGCCGACAGAGTTTATCTAGTGCAGACTAATTGTAGCAAGTTCCTCGAACTTCATGAAGACTTCAGTGAGAAGTTCACAAATACTTCTGCTAAGTTCAAGACATGTGTGCAGAGCATAGATGTACAGAACGAAGTGAACAAATTTGTGCAAATCACCACAGCTAATTCTAAACAGGTTATTATATATAGTAAACATTTGGTAACCATGAATGCGACAAACATCGAATGTCCATCGACATATCACTGATTGACGTCTCACAGCAGATTATAATACATTTATTTGAGACCGTTTCTTCAGCGAAAAATTAATGGCTATTAAAAAAACATCAGCTGACGAAACAAAACGTTTGTCGTGATGATCATTTCGAATTGGCGTTTCATCAGAATAAGAACAGCATATAGATTTAGTAGATTTAAGCACGAGCTCGATGTTCAGAATAACGGATATATTGGGGTGAGCTGAGTCAGCTGATTATTAGGGCTGACGTGAAAATGATTTGCGCTTACTTAGTAAACAAATGGTACCACAACAAAGAAGAATGCTCGTATCAGGGCAAATACATGAAAGTTCTGACCATCTTTTGATAGGTCTTATGTAGGTGCTCAAATATTCAAACGAATCATTTTTTTAAAAGAAACCATACAAATGGATTAAAATTTTATTTAGTTATTTTTATTTTTGCAAATCATCCGCTACAGAAAAGTACCACAGGGCTCGCATCTACTATTTCATTATTTGGATCAATGAGCAATGGCAATATTCAAAACATAGTTTGAAAATCGATCAAAGTCGCTTATCAAGAAATCTACATAATAACCACCTATCTTTTCTTCGATGGTCTGAACGAAAAAAAAAACGAAATCGAGTGCAAATATTCTATCCTTTCTTCAAAAGTCAAACAAAAAAAACAACACCGACCGAAGTTATTTTTCTTTCTTCGAATGTCAAAAAAATGCACAAGGAGCCTAAATATTGCACCCTTTGATCGCAACGGACACAAATATTTTATTTTTTCTTCGAAAGTCGGGACAAAAATCCAATGAATGCAAACTTTTGATCTTTTCTTCAAAAATCAATTCAAAACGATTACCTTGAACACAATGAATTCATCTTTTTTGAAACTCGGCCTTAAAAGTGACACTTTGAGCCCGAATTTCCCATCAATTTCTACCCGAAGTCGTCAAAAAAGACACCCACCACATTGGCTTTGTCACAGAATTAGATTTTTTTTATGTTGTCGTGATAGTTGTTTTTAGCTCAAAGTTAAGGGATTTGATGTCTCCGCTATAATATCTCCGTGTCTCATGAACCTTGCAGCCTCAGCCGGTTAGAGCTGCAGCACTATTAATGTGTACAGCTGGGGGCGACGTTTAGGTCCACCCTATTCAAGCACTCAAATAGAGACCAAAACCGGATCTCAGTTTGGCAAGGAATTGTCTACAAGAGCGGAAAAAAATTCTTCTATCGTAGAGACAAATGGGAGGATGTTTATCTTAAGCTATTTAACTGAAGTGGCGTGATTTTGTTTTTTGAGCGTTTTACAGTTTGATTCACAATTGAGTTAGTTGATTACTCAATTTGAGAAAAATTATCAAAAATGCCAATAAAACGTCAGCGTAGGTTTCAGAGTCGCGGCTGGTGACATTGGTAGCAATCAAAAAGGCCACATCGTAGGCCATGAGTTTGGGGGCTGAAATGAGTTTCGAGCAGCCGACTGATTTCCGATACTAATCGTCTTTCGCTTCGTTTTTAAAGATGTCAAATGAGCTCATTGCATATCACACGCTCACGATCCCAAAAGCTGCTATTTGCACTTTTTGTAGTTTACCAGAAATATCGCTCGCTGCATCCGCCCAGGCTGGACCAGCATAATCCAGAATTATTTTTTAAATGAAAATTACTAAACAGAGAACTCCACCCCCCTAAATTCGCCCCTGCATGAAAGCTTGTTTTACTAAACCCAATTAGTAACCAGCTGTGCCTTCGGGTCCAATTTCCTGTGCGAAGCTTTAATTTCAATCCTGCTATAGTGTTTGGAATTGTTTAGGGATGTTGCGAAAAAAATTGTGAGTGGTTTTCTATTGGTAGGAACAGGTCAAAATTTATTGCTCAAAGGTCATGATTGAAGCCATTATTGCAAGATGTGAAAAACAAACAAACTGAACACTTGAGGCCCTTGAGGGAAAAACAAAGATATTTATCTGATGAAAAAATGAAATAGTTTTTTGAGATAATTAGTTGGTGTAGCTGGCGGAATTTTCCTGGCGTGATTAGGCTAAGGGGCTCAACTCATTGGCGTATGCGAATGAAGTTGAAATTTTGGTAAAAGTTAGGAAGAGATGAATCACGTTGACTAAAAAAGCGTTTGCAAGTTGACTGAGCGTTTTGAAATGACTGTGTATATACGCAGACGAAGAGAGCGCTTCCCTTAATAGAATTTTGTCTCGCCGGCCAAATGGTCATCTACTTAGACATTTCAGAAGGTATTTCGATACACTGGTGTGGTTCAGAATTTTCAATAAAGTGCGTTTTCAGACATTTTGTGAGCCGTAGTTTTTTAATGTATTAGAAAAAAATGCCGATTGGCTGCCTATAACAGGTTTTTTGATAGAGTGGGGTTGAGTAAACCGTCTAAAATAAAAATCATTTAAAATTGTCTAAAATAATAGAAAGAATGATGATGATTGGATTCCGTATAAAGTCGATCTCACATTTCATGTTTTCGAAAAACTATGTCGATATCGAAACTGGGGGGAAAACATTGATAAAATTTTATTGCTAATCCCAGATAATTGATGTTGAATCTGAATTTTGTTCAGAGGTTAGCGGGGTGAAAATTGGTGGATTTTCACTTTTTTTGATGGTTTTTGTTGTTCTAAGGAAAGGAAGCTCAATGGTTTGCTCAAACTCGCTCAAAAATTTTCTTTGAGATCTTCTTTTGATTTATTTGCAATATGTGGGTCAGTTGAGTATATTTGATGTTAACTACGGATATGATTGGTTTGGCGTAACAAAACTTTGCCATTGAAAAATTACGAATGATCAAGTTGGAACCTGATCTAGACTACATTTTATGATTGGATAATTTAGATATTTTACCAATGTAAAGTATTTAATATTAACCAATCATGATCCATCTAACTAACAACCCACTTATTTGTAAGTGCTGAAGTTACTTGTAATTTCAGCACCAGAGAGATTTGAATTTAACTTAGAAATTAGTTGGACTCTCCCGAGCACTTCAGCAGCCGCAATAAACCAGTATACCCTAGATCTATTGAGCCTAGCAGAGACTAGTTAAACAACCTGAGACTAGATAGTATAAGAGTAAGATTAGGATCGGTATTAGACTAAGAAGTTGCACGAATCTATCCGGCCGAAAATAAGATAGCGTGACGAGCAGACGGTGTACCCTATCCGAAATTACTCTATGAGTTAACCAACACGGTCCTAACTCATCTGGTGCGACCATAAGTCTCGAACAAGACCTTAATAGCTTAGAATTAACCAAAATAGATTAGAAATTAGACAAAAACATTTAAAAAATGTTATACGACAATAATTTAATCGAAATGTCTCTACGACTCAATAGATCAGAGCCAATATTCCGAACCATAACAGAACTACCCGGAATTGGAAGAAGACCTCGAACCAGAGACGACATACGACAAAGTAGAAACTTGCCATATAGCTATATGATAGTTAGGCAAAAACCAGAACAAACTTTTATATTTAGAATACTACTAGCAATGAATTTAGATTTTCATTTGCAAACATAAAACCTTGAAGTTAATCTTCAAAATCATTTCAGGCGCTAAAACAAAATTATTAATATACAATAACGATTGATAAAAAGATCTAAGATCGTTTTCCTAAAACTCTGCAGTAATATACAAAACATGTTTGAAAAATATTTATTGAAAAATAAAAATAAAAATTAGTAGCATGACAATAAATGGTTAGTAATCATAAATCATCCTGTTGTTCCAGCTCCATCATCTAAAACATAACAGCAATCATAAACCCACTAATATCATCAAAACACTAAATCTTTCCTTTACACACATTTAAAATTTTATTAAAACTTAAATTCACTTAATTTTAAAACCAGATCATCAAGGCTTATCCTTGGATCTTAAATCATTTTCTACTTAATTAAATTTCAAATTTGATCATCAAGGCTTATCCTTGGATCAAACAGAACAACTTTGTTCTCCCCCACCCACTTAATTAGTGTCTAACGACCTCAAACGTCGATTCACTACCCAACCCTTTCTAAAGACCTAAGACTAATAGAAATTTTTAAACAAAACTAATCATTCAAATTAGGATAAACAGTGAAGAACTTCGGTTATTCATCCTTCACTTGATCCCCCCTCTTACCAGACCCAGGATAAATCTTAGACTTAGTAAGTTTAAAATAGTATCTAACGAACTACTCGCGTTCTAATTATACCTGAACCTTGTGGATCGATTTACTATTCTCCAACCCTTGAACACAATCACTACCCCTAAGTAAGATTAAGTAAGTTAACACCTTAACTTATACTAGCCACGAGAAAGTAAAAAATCATTCTTCGGAATCGATATACTTTTCTCTCCAACCCTGAACAAACAGACCCAGGTTAAGCTAACCAAAAAATCGTAAGAACTAACAGTTTAAGAAAATAGAAACCATTTAACAACCTTTTGCATCCGTCATCCTAAACCTTATGTCATTTAAAAACCTAGGAAATAAACAAACAATCGTTTTACACCATTGTGAAATAGATAACAAAAAATACGACCTTGTAATCACACCTCATACACAAACAGTTGGATACATTCGAACAAAACGACAAACACTAAAAAGAAAAATAATAACGAAACAAAGACAAATAACACGAAAAAGATTTTCAAAAAATCGAAACGCATTTTCAGAATCAGAAACCAACAGTTTAGACGAACTTTACAAACTAAAAGAATCAATAGATAAAAATTGCCCACTTCACGATCAATTATATTTTTCTGACTCAGAAACAACTTCAAATTCATCAAAAAGAGGAAAAAGAAGAATAAAAAAACAGTATAAACACAAACCAGTACATTTATACAATTGGAATCAACCAATTCGACACATTAACAATTACATATTAACAGTCATCGAACGAAAAAATGAGCTCAACGCACACCCC